CTAGTTCTTTGATTTATATCAGAAAATTCTTGTGATCGTTCAGAAAGTCCCGAAACCCGCAATCAAAGGGTGTTCCCATAAATACGTATTGCAATTTATTACCAATTCTTTTACTGAATTCTCAAATTTTGTAAGCTTTAGCACAAAATTAATTTGACATTGCAGTTCGTTAGATGACTTAGCCAATCAATATAAGATCAGATATGCACCATTAAAAGGAAGTGCAATTGAAATGTATTTCAAACGCATGGCCGAAATTGAAGAAAAAGTTTACGAGTAAGTCGTCTCCTCTTTTACTTTTACGCCTTCAAATTTGCTTGCAATTTACAGCATTTGGAGTGAGATGGCAATGAATGAAAGCATGTCAGAATCGGACCGCGCTCGATCGTCAATATGGGATTATCCGGTTCCAGACAAGTATACTAAGATGTGGAGGTACATCATCTAAAAGTTGATGAACGCTCATGAAATTTGCACAGGTTCATGCAACAGTCTAACTTACCAAAAAGCATGGCCGAAGCCATGGATCTTGTTCTTAGCTCAGAAGAAGAGTTCGCATACATTGGTAAGTTGCCACTGTCTAGTAAATCAAACAAACTGACCAAGATCAAATGACTTAAGGTGATGGCATAGAAACAAAATATGCTGTTCTTACAAACTGTCAGGTGGAACAAGTTGGCTCGGGGTTTTATGGCAAACCCTATGCTATTGCTGTACAGAAGGGACATCACCTTAAAACTCGGATTGACAAAGTGTAAATTATTTTCCCTTTTGGTCTGCTAATAAGATTTATCCAATCTTTAGCATTATGAGGCTGACAAATGAGAGACAGCTTGAAGTTCTCGAGGAAAAGTGGTGGCACAATAATCCAAAAAGGGTAAGAGCTTTGTCGCATAATTAGTGCAAAGTAAAAGATACATCCGACATATCTGCTTGCATGATTTCCATGCATTTACAAAATGTAAATCTAACTCACTGCATGTGAAAGGTTTGGTGTCTTTAGTGGTCTTTGTCACATTGAAAATTGTAGATTTTTAGAAAGTCGTAGCACGTAAGAACTCGCAAAGCGCATTATTTTTGCACCAACCTAATACCCTGATTTCACGCGTACAAGGCGCACTTCCGATTTTTCAAGCGAATCGCTCAGCCGCCAATTTTGGAGAGCGATCCTTATTCCACACGATTCTCTTGAGCAACATGTAGGTGTAGGGTCACGTGGCTGCAAAGTCCTTTGTCGTGATTGGGCTGATCGGTATTGGAATAATTCCCCGCGCCTTGTACGCGTGAAATTAGGGTAGATTAGAAAGCGGCAACACTGCGCAAATTTTCCATCTATGCTGAACATTTTCCTTTGTAAGAAAAGTTTGACTCTTTTTTATAATCTACTCTTAACTCAATTTCGATTAGCTGGAAAGTTTTATGTAGGTGGTCTGCGAGGACAGAAGCAATGGGGACAATGGAATGCCTCTCCAGAACATCGGAGGAGTCTTCATTGTTATTAGCGCGGCTATCATTTTATCACTAATCACACTCACGATTGAGTACCGCTACTATCGGTAAATAAGCATTATCGCTGGATCTCGTTCAAACGGTGAAAACTTTTTTCCAGTAAAAGCAGTGCAGATGTTGATCGTGAGACGTCGGTGGAGAAGAGCGGGCAAACGAAGCAAGCGCACCACGTACCACTCCATTTGTAGAAGTGCGGCAAGTCGCGTCAGCTTACATTACTTGTTGACAATCAGATCAAACTAATGGTATAAAAGGCCACTCAGCCGAATGAAATTGATTGTTTTTGAATCACTGTCGCTTCCTCTTCAGTGTGGCAACAGAAAGCATAGTTGTTATTGGACTTACTCGATTGATATGTATTCTATTACATGCATAAGTTAAACTGCTATTTATATAGTTTACTTGCATTCCTATACTATATTGCAACAGAAGTCATTTCCATTGTATACTCGGCAAACAATTCTTATCTGCGACTAACTACACTAAGACACAATCATGGCAAACATTCACCGAAACCCCCACTGGTGACGAGGGCGAGAGTAAATACCCGATAAGCTTTCGAAAAATCTCGGGACGGGCGGACACGTGCAAGAACAATACTCGAAAATGTGCAGACTAGCACACGACAATGCAACACGACATGTGCATCTAACAGTAAGAGTTTTATAGCGCAAAGAATTTATTTATCTCATTTTTTACAGGTTTCTGAATACGTTTTCTTTCTTTTCGTTTACATAAAGATCAAAGTCTGTAGAAAAGTCTCTTTTATATTCGTCGTAATATCATGCTCATTATTTCCCGAGTCCGACAATTTGTAAGATTCTAAAACCAAGTAAATGCAACAGTAGATATCCAAGATTAGGGCCAGGCACGAGTCGGTTTCTAGATTTTCCGAAACCCCACCTGACCTTTAAAAATTTTACGAAGTCAACCTCGGAAACCTATCGAAACGGGAGAAGAAAAAAAATAAAAGGAGCCACTAGTCTGAAAGGGAAAACCTGGAATAGGGGTGAAATTCAAAGTGTGGCTTACTATGCTTGCACAAGCGTTTGACAGCGTTCGTTTTTACGCTCAGGGACAGATTTTTGACTGGGGATCAGGGACAGGTTTTTGACTAGGGAATTTGTCCACGATAGAAAAATCCAAGAAACTTATGTGAACTCACAAAAATATATACTCCATACCATCCCAGAGTATGGTGGCCGTCCGGCAACGGATTACCTTTGGAAAAGGTATTATTTTACGTACTTCCGTTAGTAATTTTTAGCGTACAGTCCAAATTTGGGGTCATAGCTTGTCTTTACGCTGCAAACAAGCAATGTTAATTTTGGTTTCTTGCTTTCAATTCGCGCGTGTTTTTCGCAAGACACGAAGCACGTATATTGCATAATAACCTGTCTTTGAAGCTTGTGCTTGACTGAGTGGTCGCTTTTGCTAGAAGTGTTGAATTGTCTTGCACACTGTATGTCAATTTTCCTCCACATAATTCGCTAGTTAAGCATGTACACAATTTTTTTTCGGGGCTTCGCCTCTGACCCCGCAAAAACAATGTCTCTTTCGCTTTTTGTCCCAAAAACGAAGTTCGGGCTGCTTCCATTCGATCCGTTCCTGGACCTGCCCAAAACATTAAAACATCTGAAGGCTTTACCGGAAATCCAAATGCGATCATCTATAAAGTTGAGAGTAGCGCTCATATTATCAAAAGGAAGTTCCCACAATTCTTCATACAATAAAGGCCAATTCTGGACTCATCATCTCCAGACCACCCACATTGATGGGAAGAGCCACCACTGCCGCTTCTATCTTTTGGAGCAATTGCTTAGTTACAGGCTCCGATACACTAAATCGTCAAAATCTCATGTCCCTTATATGAGTAGACGGCGCCGTCAAAACCCGCGGCCACCGAAATGTGATATGCGCGGTTCTTGTTGAGGGCCAGGCTTGCCCGATGAAAAAACTCTGTTGAGGCTCTGCGCTTGTCCGAAATCCAAAGATGCAGTGCGTCTTATGAGGCCGGTGTAACTGCAGGTCGTCAAGAAACTAATTTAGGGTAGCGAGTGGTCCAACTAAGATTTCAAGGTCAAGGGCACTGTTAAGGAGCTCGTGTTAACCGATGCTATTTTACGCAGTGATCATATTAAACGTGGTTTCATTTATCCCGAACATGTCCCATTTATCTCCATAGTCATATTGGTGATTTTAGGTTCTATAGACATATACGGAAGCTGTTTGTAGACCTGGATAATATATACAAAGCAACCAACGCAGCAAATACACTTTTATGAAGCACATTTTATCTGGTCCACATTTAATGCTTATTTTAGATAAGAAAAAGTAATGGCCTTGAGTAAAAAGAGTAAAGACACTTTAAAAAACTCAAGCATTGAAAATTTTGTCATGACGCGGTATAGGCACGGTTCCCGCGTTGAAAGCTATCTCTTAATAAGAGGACTCCCTTACTAATTTGGGCTAATTGGAAAACAGAATGTCAGAGGCTTAGCTGATGCATTGCGATTTATGACGAACCTAATCATACAGTTTAAAAGAGTGTCATCAAGATTTTGTTTGCACCTACAGCAACACTTTGATTATCCAGAATCTCTCCAAAAGTCGTAAAACCATAATTACCATACCGCTTCTTATATCACATATAACGATGGGAAAGGGGTGTGAAGTTTTGATCTCTCGTCATAAAGCTTAAAGGCAGCGTCCCACCAGACGGGGGGTACCTGGCTCTCGTAATGATGTAATAGTAGACCCCCTACCTAAGCGATGACTGAAGTTCGGAGCGAAAAAGGGGGTCTACCAAGCCTGAAATTTGCTTCGAAAGTGGGCCGAATCTTACGGTAGGCCCGGAGCCGCCCACACGGCAATATCGATTTGCAGGGCCAGAGTGCGTATAGCGCAAACATCATGAGCGCAAGGACCCGCAACGACTCTGCTTCTCTACCTTGTGCACCTCGCACTCGCCCGATCCTACCGTAAGATTCGGCCTACTTTCGGAGCAATTTCAGGCTTGGTAGACCCCCTTTTTCGCTCCGAACTTCAGTCATCGCTTAGGTAGGGGGTTTACTATTACATTATTACGAGAGCCAGATACCCCCAGTCCGGTGGGACACTGCCTTTAAGGGCCGGGCATACTTTACGCGATTTTAGTCGCGAACGATTTGGCAACTCGCCAAAAGTCTTCAGGTTCAACACTAGCGAACTGCATATGCTCAGGGTGTTTAACTCGAGTGGATTGATAAAATGCCCTATCTTCTTTACATTTAAGCTGTGCTTACAGTGAGTTACGAATAGTTGGAATGCTGCCAAATCGCGTCGCGACTGAAATCGCGTGAAGTATGCGCGGCCCTTTAGGCCTCGGGCAGAGTTCAAGCGAGTTCATCTTCGCAATTCATCGCTACAAGACAAGTGTTACAAGTTCATCGCATGCCAATCTTCTCGTATTTCGGTTGTGATAGTTAGTCACGACTAGTCGCATCGGAAAAATCACAACCTAAATACAAGAAGATCGGCATGCAATGATATTATTACAATTACAGTTGTCTTGTCGCGATCAATCGCGACAATGAAATCGCTAAAACTCTGGGGGGGGGGAGACGGCCCTTCTGAACCGTTAGCATTAGCAGCCTAATTACTGCTCGTCTCTGATTGGTCGGAGCTACCGCAGCGCTTGGGTAGGCGAGGGCTATGCTGTCGTTGGAGCGACTGAATTGGACTGCAAAGGCATTCTCATGATAAAAAGAATCAAACAAGATTTCGAGTTTCCCATGAGACTCGAAAATGTTATACGTGGGCGACTTAATTAAAATTTTCAGCTTACACGTGCAGCAGCCTTCATGGTGTTTTGTAAAGTGCGAAGAGCGGGGAAATCTCGAAATGGCCTTAAAAAACGTGGAACTTTTCCAACATTTTATCTTTGAATTCAAACATCGGCACTATCATTATTCGGGTGCCTCGCTTGCTTTGGAATGCTCAGAAATATTTGAAAGCATGCTAGATCTTACTATAATATATCTTTTGGTAACTGCCAAAGCGATGCGACGAGGGTACTCTCCTCCCCCATATGCTTTACCGTTGTGCTATGTGTTCTCTTATAGTGTTAACAGCAGAATCGCGACAACGAGGGCAGTCCAGATTATGCGGTGACGAAATATAACTGCGATACATGAACTAACACGGATGTGCAGAGCAACGCCGACAGAGTACTGGGGAGCGCATGCACTCAAGGAGGATCCACAGTTTGCATAACAGCGACGTAGAGTTGACGTCGTTCGCAGTTAGTTTCCAGACTGTATGCACTTTAAGTGCAATGGAGCTTGCTCCGCATGGAAAGTGTATGGGCAACAATCGTCAAAGATCACCTCAACAAGCAAAGAAGGAACGAAATATTGATTTCAGACTACCGAATTAGTGCAAATGTCTGACCCCCAGTTGCTATCATAATTTGGAAAACTGTCGCCCATTTTGCTTCCTATCCTGCCTAACTTTTTACAATCATTAGTTTTCGAAAAGCACATTATGATTTTGAACAATATGAAGGTTAGGAAAGTAAGATAATATAACCTATCAATTTTACGGGGAGTGTACTTTTTGAAAATATTGCTTTTGCCTCTGGAAATAGAAAAAAAGGGGGAGCTACGTCTCGTTGGAGGAAAAGAATCAGTTGATTCACGCAGTAGTACATTTTTCTAAATTTCTAGGAACATTTTGCTAAATTTCTAGGATTAAATGCTGAATCTCACAAAGACCTGTTAAATACTTACTTTTGGATGCTTCTACATTGTGAAAATATTGTTGTTGCCTCTGAAAACAAATGAGCAGAGGGAGCTCGGTCTGCTGGAAGGAAAGACCCAACAAATCCACTCGAAAACACATTGCTTCCAACTAGATGTTAATGTGAAAAATCACAGAAACTTGCTTGTGAAATCCCTACTTTTGCCAATAAAAACAACACAGCAGAGGGAGCTTGTCTTGACCTAGTGTTCATGTGGCAGTACATTTTTGATATGATTCTCTAGAATTCAGGCTGAATCTCACAAGAAAGGCTTGAGATTCAGTTTGGCCGCTTTTATCTTACGAAAACCGTACTTCTGCTTTAAAAAGCATAAGTCTCGAAGAAAGGAAAACTTCAAGGACTTTATGCGGCAGCGCATTTAGGCCAAGGACTTTTCAGATTCAATGCTAAATCATGCAGAAGCTCACTTGAAATTCACTCTTGATGCTAGGATTGTCCAAGAAAAAGCTTTGAGCGAACTTTGGTCTCGCTTTAAGAAATGACCGTTTCTTGGCGCGACGTAATAAGGAGAGTATAGGACTGTGCATGATCGCGAAGCTCGGTGTGTTAGCGGCCGTTGCACAGTTCCTGAGTGTCAGCCTGAGTTTCGGGGTGAATCAGCTGTTCTACATAGATGACTGCTTAGGCGATTCCCATTTTTAGGAGCTGGGGTTGGGTCTTTGCAAGAAGAACAATGTATATGATTTGGTAGTTAATCGCTGCAAAAAGTTTCCTTGAGAGTCTGATCTTGCTTCTGATACTACTTGCATTGCGAAAAAGATCGCTGAAAAAATGGGAGTTCATTCTCTTTTTATTCTTAGTTGCACGCAGATAGTAATCAATGTATCTGCCCCAGCCCACTTACTAGCGACCCGTAGGGTCGCTAGTTATAAAAAAGGCTGAGTAATTAGCGCCGCCCCGGGCACAGTAATTAACGCTAGGACGGAGCGGTTCAGAAGGGCATACACCCATCGAGATTGACCTTTACAAACCCGTTCGTCCATAGGATTGGCTAAAACAAGTGCCACATAAAGCACAATGACGTAATGGTCTCTCAGCTCAAAATAGTCTTACTTTAACAAGGGATGGAGATACTTTGTGACCGTGGCCTTTTGAATTAAACGTACGCCTTGAATGTATCTTGAGGCCCTGATTCCAAATCTGCTTTCTGTATATGCTGTGCGCTATGTCGAAAGAAGTTATGAACATTTCTTGCCACCGAAATCTGCACTGTTTCGATGATGGAATTCACTAATGCCATTAGAATGTTCACTTACGCACTACAAAAGAGCGTCCGTCTAAATAAAGCTCAGCAAAGTCCGGGAGATGTCTTCCTTTACGACTCTAGAAAGCCCGGATACTGACTGCCTACACCTCGTAATTTCAAATATAAAAAGGTCCATAACTTTGTTGGGAGAGCCGCTCAACAAGTAATGAACATAGATTCGGAATCAGCGTTTTAGTTCGCATCTACTGGTGTACATCTCACTGTTACCAAGTACCCTCCCCTCTTAAGAGCTATTTCTAGCTTGCATCCTGGTTTTCCTTTCCTTTAGCAATACATAATCTATACAAAATACATATTTTAGAACTCCTTGACCATTCCCAACGTTACACACGTAGCTGCCTGGTTCATTGTTTGTCTACCTACCTTTCTAGTAGCACTCGAGTTACAGCGCAGCGACGAAACGCGATACGAATTTACTTCCCTATGTCAACGATAATTTGCACTCACATCGCCTTCTTCCCAGGCATCGGTAAATGAGCTATTGGTCTTCCGTCTATATCATCGATGAATAAAAATGTTTTTCTTTTCTGGAGTTTTTATTATTTGCTTAGTCTTGAAGCTTACAAATACAAGTGAAATTATATGTGAGTAATTCAGTACAGTCCTGTTTCTGCGCACTTTGAATTTTAAACTTTTCAGCCTACATCGAAGAGGAGGACGATGTGGAGGCTCCAGTCATCTGCCAGCATCTAAATATAACTCAACTATTTCACTCTGACAAACTCAGAATAGATAATATCACTGTAGAACACATTGTCATTAATAAAGCAACATCTTCACGAGAGCGTAAGCGATTTCTCACTTTTATAACTAAATCAAGTTCAGTCGCCTTTTCTTATTCTAGCGTTTTTCCGCTTATGCAGGAGCGTTTTTTCTTTGTGTTTTTAGTTTAATCTCCTTGAGATTTGAATTGAACAGACAAACAACATCAACGCTCATATAATATTTGGTTGCCCTTTTTAAATGTTCGAGTGAGAAAATAGGGGAACTAAATTAAACTTCGCTCACACAAATAGAGGGGCGGCATATGTTAATAAGCTATTTTTGCAAAAAAATTATTGATTGGCTTTATCAATTTATTGATTTTCTGCGTTTTGGCTAAACATTTTCATGAACGGCTAAAAGTGTTATAAGAAGGGGCAAGAGATCTGAATATTTTGCAAATAAATTACGGAAATTAGCGGATATCAACAAGCTACTTTTGCTCAAAAAATGTTGTTGTATCCATCAATTTCGAGTTTTTCGCATTTTACTGAAGGACACAAATTGCGGAAGGGGGAGGGGGAGGTAGGGTAAGTGAGCATCTGATTACCGATAAGATATCTACCATTTTTAGTCAAACCGTCTCTCAGATTATCGATTTTTTGTGCTAATCTTTAACAAGCTCCAAACTCTTTGCACGAGGGTAAGTTTAAGTTCCGATCATGGACCAAATAATCTCAAGAGAAATAGTTGTTTATTTTATTTCATTGACAAGATCAAACAACACAGTGAGACTTTTAAATACTTGACAACTTTTTTGCCTAACAGCATCAAAGCAAATGGTTCTGTTATTTCGCATCACCGTCTAAAAAATTCATCTCTCTAGGACAAGAACTCGTCATGCTTCTATAGCTCCTTTTCCAGATTTTATTTTCAGCTCAGGAGTTTCTTCCAAATATTTATTTCATAACTCAAAATATTTTTAGCTCTATCCAATTTCTTTCAAATATTGATTTCATAATTGAAAACAGAAATGTTTTTTGTTTTTTATAACAACTGCCTTCCTACCTAATAGTCATCATTTTTAGTTTGTGGATTAATCAGTAATGCCAGTCTTGCTATCAGCATTTGCAAATCTGATGAAGGCCAACAGCTAGTTATGAGAACAGCACAACATACTGGCTTACCAACAATACACATTCTCCGAGACAGATGGAATACTATAAGAGATAAAATTACTGGTTTGTCTTAAGCGCATATTTCTTTACAAGTTTGCTGGTTTTTCCAGCTTCAAAGAGAAAAGTTTATTGAATGTGAACAAAATGTCTAATCTTGCAGATAAAGTCTCTAAAAATCAGATCTTTCTCATTCCCACGCTTACTGTCTACAACAATGTTATTCTGGATGTTCTGCCGCGTCTGAACATCTCACCCAATACTACCGTACTGTTCGACGATGTGCACGGTCTGTACATGCCGTAGCTGCTGTTTTCATTTACTTCGAAATTGCTAATTAGTTCACTGTAGGAAGTATGGAAAGCGTGCGAGAGGAGTTTGGCAGACTGCCAGTCTCCACGAATTTTGTTCAAATTGCGCTTGATCCAATCAAGCGCCAAGAACAAATCAAAAATGTTGCTATTTCGGGACGTGCCATTATTGTGGCTGAAACAACTCTAGTGGAATCGTTTGTGAAAGAGGTCTGATGTATGGCTAATATTTACTTGCAATTTCAGTAATGTGCTTTTTCCTCAGCCTTTTTGACATCTGAGCTAGCCTTCCCTTTTTCTGAATTTTCATTTGTCGCATTCATCAATTAGTAAAATGGATGTCGAAGATTGCATATCTGCAAATTCGATTCCTATTTTGGGAGGGTCCAAATACAAAACTGCGGAATATTCTAGAACATGATGTTACGTTAAATGGAAATATTCTTTTATCAAAGAAGCTTTGCAAGGACAACTTTGTATTTTCAGCTAAGTCAAACGGTTAAGGAGTCTCCGAACCTGATTGTGTTCACGAAGGTGAGTTATCTGTACAGTATGTTGTAAAGGATCTCTGATTATTGCTTTTCTTAAGACCGTTAGAATAATTACAACTGCGCAGCCGTCTTTAAATAACAAATTAGGGACTCAGCATCCGAGAAAGGAGAGAGTAAAGAAGGACGACGAGAGAGGAGGGGAGATTGTCATGCGTGGAAATAAGGCTTAAAATACATCTCTTTCAGCAGAACAGTGTCCAAGTTATGTGAGAACTAACTTTTTAAAGTATGACGGGCAATATTATCCAGAAACAATTAGAAGCTAACTGATAACAGTTTCTTTATGGTTTTTTATATGGGGGAAGGGGGGGGGTGAAATATTCATAGTAACAACGCAGCAGTCCTCGCCACGCTTCCCCTAACTCAAAAGCCCAACTGTATCGCACACTGCAATGGTTTGCTTGGATACTCTGGACAAGAATCTCTGTAAATCTGGGAGAGAAAGGATGACTCAGCCCTCTAGCAAAATTCTAATTTTGACCGATGTTCAACTGCATTGTAGACAAAAATGAAATTTCAGCACCCGCGAAGAAATATAATAATTACAGGATGTCACTCCTTTTCGTTGCGAAGTAGAAGACTGTCCTTCTATGAATCTATTCTGGATTAGACCTTATGCTACTGGAAAGATCGCTAACATACGCGATCTGAGAGAGTTCCTCGTTGACACCGAAATTGGCTTAGAGCTCAATTATTCGATAAGAAGTTCGCAAGAGGTTTGTTCTTTAAATGAAGTCTCTCGTAATTTCTGGCCATGTACGTATTCAGGTTGAAGTTGCCTTCTACTTTGACGTTATGGATTTCGTTTTTAAAATTCTTATGAACACCAAAAACCGGCTGAACTATACTTGCTCGTCTGAACCCACAAAGACTCCCTATGTGTACGAAGATGCATTGACTGCGCTCAACAGCCCTGTGCCGGAGTACGGGGCTTATAAGCAACTCAGTGCAGCAGCTTTTTACGAGGTTGAATTGAATGCTTTCGATAGAGGTGATGTTTAGTGTAGTCTATCTGTGGTACCGACATTTTCCGACAACTTTTGCGCGTGAATGTATTTCTGCGAATGCGGTGCTGGCAATTTGTTCATGCGCAATAGTTGTCGGCAAACACCACCGAAACACTATATCACGTCACCTGAAATTTTAGTATTTATATGAAGAAATCAAAGTTTGTGTTTATTTCAAAAAGTTTTTGTTTAGAATATTCGAGCCAAAGTCTTCAGGATTGAACGAGCAAGCGACAATCCGGAAGAGACATACAATAAAGAAGTCTCCTGCAAAATTTCAATTTACCAATAAATAAGAAACTCTTAACATTCAGATTGCTTCGTGGAACGTTCTGGATAAGGTCACACTTCTGCACGACAGCTTTGACGTAGATGTCAAAACTATAAAGGATTACCGTATCGTTACATTGATAGTAAGCCATTTTACATAATTATATATCAACAATACCACAGCATGGAAACCCTCTTGACAGTGGCAGCTAACGTTTTTGACTGCATGTTTAGCAACAACGGAATTGGGGCGCTAGCACTAAAAGTACAATCAAGTAGTGAGAAAAAGTTACTGAGTGGACCTACATATAGCAAGCCCAATTGCGAAATGCCTTTAGGCATACAATAATTCTTATGAACTCACCAAAGTTTTCTTTGGTTATAGTTTTCTTTCAAAAATCGAAATTACGGTGAAGATAGGATGGCCATGAATTGAATATCTAAAGTTCATAGTTTTCAATCATTTGAGAAAAGCGTGGAAAATTGCAAATTTGAAGTAGATGGTCGTAAAAAGCTCAAGTTTCTTTACGGGAGATAGCAGTTGAAAGCTTTCGCCAGATCTATCGTATTAAACTCAGGATTGACTTGTCTTTTGAGAAATGTTGAAGTTGTGAAAAGATGAGAACTTATTTTCAGTCATGTAGAAACTTGATTATATAATGTTCATCTATCATTATCAAACGAAAGGAAAATGTTAATGCGTCTTTACAATATGGAGCCAAGTGATACGAATTGAGAAAGATCTGTTGTTCCCTACGTAAAGATTTTTTTCTAACATATAGTTCATATACTACCGTATGTGTGTGACGTACAAATCTGAATTCAACAAAAAGAAGTTGCATATTTCCTGCACTTTCACGTAAGCCATAAAATTGAGGGGAAGCTTCTTTTTCAGAGCTGTCAAATTTGTATCCTATACGCTAAGCAGATAGACAAAAAAGAAATGAAAAAAAAGAAAAGAATATTATTAAATATTGAAAGTACACCATTCTGATCTTTTGCAAGAAGCTATGTGATAGCTAGTTGAAACAAAAAAACCTATTGATACGTAAGAGACAGTGAAAGTGAATATCTTTGCGTAAATTTTCTAATTTTTTCATGCCTTTGTCTTTTGCCTCAAATGATCTATGCCACTTAAAATAGCTAAAAACATCGTCCTCAAAATTTCACAATGACGCAATGTCGTCATCTAGATCCTTATACGTCCATTGACCAATCTATTTCTAGCAACCACCATTTGTTCAAAAAACTGGAAATACCGAGCAACCCTACGAAGGCTACTGCATTGACCTTATTGAGTTAATCCGGAAGGAGGTTGTTGATTTATCGCAAACTAACTAATGAAAAGCAAATGGAAACTACTCGTTCATTCAGTTGAATTTTAACTACACCATCTACGAGGTAGAAGACGGAACATTTGGCACTATCGATCAAAATGGTAACTGGAATGGTCTTATAGGGGCTTTGGGTGAGTTCTGCAGTACTCCAAATCCAATCTAGCTACTGAGCTTTGAGAAGTTTTGCACCAAATTAAGAAATCCTTGTTTTCTTTAGTTCCGCTAACTTCCTTTGTTTCAATGTGTTTTGGAGAGATAGGATTCCCCGCTTGCTAATTTGCTTGAAGTAATGGCAAATACGATTTATAAGCTTAAATCTAAAGCAATAGAATCGTAACTCGCGAATTTAGTTGATATGAAAGCTCAACTCAAATTTGATTGAGCTTTATTTATACTTCTTAATTAAAAGCAATTGATGCTGTTTTGAATAAGATCTTCGATGTGTATAGAAAATAGAGTATTTGTTGTATGTTAGAAGAATGTATACTAGCGATCCAGGAATTCTTTGGTGACGGGGGGGGGGGGGAACTTTTGAATGAAGGTGCGTGACGTCAGCCGCGCACTCAAAAATTTTTTTTGGAATCCGCCCCAAAATTTTTGTGGATCCATAATCCCGGAATTTTATATTAGAAGGGCGTGGCAGCAGATTTTTTTTCGCAATGCTAATTTGAGTTTTCGAAGAATTTTAAAAATCATTTCAATTATTCACAAGTATATAAGCAAGTCACTCGCACATTTCTATAACCCATGTGATTTTCCGAAAGGGGGGAGGGGGAGGGAGGGGCGTGCATATCGGAAATTAAAGCATTTTCTGAATATTTTCAAAAGTACTTTTCTAGGGCAAAACTTGTGGGCCAACCTATTACATGATAATAATACTGAATCAGCGCGTTTTTAAAAAAGAGAAAAATATTCTATCCTTTATTTATGCACTGATAACTTCGCAGAAAGTTGATTTGCACGCATGAAACAAACTGTGTAACTTGTAATTTCATGCTATGTCTTAGAACTTTTTCGCTCTATTCAAAAAGTTCTAACACAGTTTTTTAAGTGTCCGGATCGGCAGACATTGCATTGGCTCCTTTGAGTGTAACTGCGGAGCGCGAGAATGACGTTGACTTCACGGTTCCTTACTATGATCTGGTTGGCACTACCATCTTGATGAGGAGAACAGATGCGGATTACTCATTGTTCAAGTTCATGAAGGTAGCTCTCACCCCTATCACTCTAAATTCTTTATTGATACCTTTTAAGGTCCTGGAATGGCCCGTTTGGCTGTGCATATTAGCTGCGTATATTTTGACAAGTTTAACTTTGTGGCTCTTTGACCGATTCAGCCCATACTCATACACCAACAACAGGAAAAAGTAAGGTCATGTAATTTGAGTATGCATCAATTGATATTTTATGCAGATACCCAGACGACGTGGAAAAGCGGGAATTCACTTTGAAGGAGTGCCTATGGTTCTGCATGACGTCACTCACTCCACAAGGTGAAACTTTTTTGTATTCTGAAGATGTTGTATGAAGGTTAATGTAAAGTGCTCAAATTTTTCCATAGAGGGGTGTAGTCAAAATTTTCAGAAATAGAGACGGCATTGTTTTTGTCATTGCTCTGATTTTGACTGCGATTATTGAAGAAGTTTTATTATTAATTATTGGCTTTTGCTTTTTGACTATTCTTTTGTGCGATGTTCTTCCAGCAAACAAATTTTCTCTCAATCCATTTCTAGGCGGGGGAGAAGCTCCGAAGAATATATCTGGAAGGTTGGCCGCTGCTACTTGGTGGCTTTTTGGATTTATTATTATTGCTTCCTACACGGCCAATTTAGCAGCATTCTTAACAGTATCTCGACTTGAGCAACCCATAAGGTTGGTATTTATGGTTCTTTATTGTTAGACAGGTAGAAAATGTAGTTACGGAGTACTGCTCAAAACTACCAGATATGTTGAAAGAATTTCATCTACATTCAATTTTCAATGTATGTGACTGCTGACAAGCGAGGATTAAAATTACACTCTGAGTCCGGGTCTACTAGCTGTTGATCATATCCGATAAGAAATGGTCTTCTATAAAGTGATTTTCAAAGCATAATTTTAGCTTTTTATACTTCTAAAAAATGTTCACCTTTGAATTATGCTCTTCAACCCGGTACTCTAATTTCTTTCAAGTCACTTTGTCCAATCTCTCATGTCTGCTCTAAAACTTTTTCGTCACTGAAATTACAATATTTTAGCTCACTGGACGATTTGGCCAAACAGTACAAGATCGAATATGCACCAATCAAAGGGAGCTCATCGGAGACGTATTTCAGGCGTATGGCTGAAATCGAAGAGCGATTCTACAAGTAAGCGTCTCTGCTTTTTTATAGTATTTTCCTTGCAAAAACACGCATTCAAAGTATTTGGAAAGAAATGTCACTGAACGAGAGTCTCTCACCAATGGATCGTGCTCGACTGGCGGTGTGGGACTATCCAGTTTCCGATAAATTTACAAATATGTGGAGGTATGATAATATCTCTTATCTTTATGACTGTAAAAATTGAATAATATCCTGTTTCCGAGATCCACAAAAATTTGAGAAAAATTTGGCAATATTGAGTCAAGCTGTGCAACTAGTTCTTTTATTAGCTGAGAATCTGAAGAAAGTTGCAAGTCTGAAAAGCAAGTAGTTCTGAAATTTTTTGCATATTCTGAAGTACTCAACCGCATTAATTTTTTTTCTCCCATTCAGATATATGCAAGAGTCAAGGTTGCCGAATAACATGGATGAAGCAATACAGCGTGTACTTACATCAGAAGAAGGATTCGCTTTTATTGGTGAGATTGTACTTCTGCAAAAATTTATTCAAAAAATTAGAAAAGTTGTATCGAATGAATGTTTAGGTGACGCTACAGAAATAAGATATGCGGCTCTTACAAACTGTCAACTGCAGCAGATCGGTACGGAGTTCTCTCGAAAACCCTATGCGATCGCTGTACAGTCTGGACATGTTCTCAAAGACCGGATGTCCAGCGCGTAATTTTCAACATTTTTTTTTCAAATATCAAGATGCAGATGTAGCCATTTCAGCATTCTGGTACTGCTCAACCAAAGACGCCTCGAAACTCTAAAGGAAAAGTGGTGGAGCAACAATCCTAGAAAGGTTGGGGTCTTGCATACACAAGACATTCTGGTGGCAGCCATATATCAGTAGGGGACAGGGAGAGACGTTCCCTTACACCTTCATTCTTCCGTTCCCTTCCCCAGAATGCGGGACTTGAATTTTGTACGTGTCTTGAAGGAAAGCAGTCTGTTTTCATTTTTAAATCCATGAAAATAGCAATTTTCAATTAGATATGGACCAGAAAAATATTCAAAAGGTGTGATTTTGGACGAAAACTATTGCACTCGTTTGTCGACAACCTTATCAATCAAATTTCACTTAGATGATTCGAAAACCTTTCAAAATCATGTTCATTTTAGCTACATCTATGCAGCATGTTACTTCAAGAGCAAAATTCAAAAACATTATCCATTTTGCTTTGATACGCAACACTATAAAGTGAGTCCTAATCTTCTCGCTTGAGCAAGGTTTGTACTTACATGCTCAGAATTTCAGAGTTCAGTAAAAATATGACGCGATTCTCGAATTTTTTTTTAATGAGGAATTGGCTTCATCTACCGATCCACAATTTTAAAGAACTTTTGAAAAGCAGTCGGTCAAATCTGGATACATGAATTTTTATATGGACAGAGGACTTAGGGAACCATGTTTAATCAAAGTGGACTTTTTGGATGGAATGTAAACCTTATGGGAGAGTATGAAATGCTAATTCCAAATCTGCCTTCCTCATCTGCGAAATTTCTGTGACGAGGAGTTTTTGGCGTTTATTGACGCAAGATAGAAAAATTGCATTGCTTATGAAATAAGTCGCTAAAATCTCCCTAGACCTCATGTAGCATCAAGTGTGACATTTTTTATCTGAGAGTATTTGATTAGGGGCTCTAATAATCACCATTTGTCCGTTAAAGCGTTAGAGAAATTATTATGAGGATTTTCGTCCTATTTGCACATGTAAATTCTTGCTTTATTGATGCTCATAATCTCGTCGATGAACATTCCGCAGGTAAGGAAGGCAAATCTGGAATCAAGGATCCATGCTCTCTAATATGGTATACATCACATCTTAAAAAGCCACTTCGACTCATGCTTCCCTCGTTAGTTAAGCCATTGCTCAAATGACAGCTCAAATGGTTTATTATCCAACTTGACCGCACCATACAGTCAGGGCTCGGCACGAGGTGGCTAGATGAAAATGGAAAAAACGAAGTCCCCCTTGACTTTTGGGAATTTTTACGAAGTCCCCTTTGACCCTCAACCAAATTTCCTCTAAAAACCTGAAAAATTCCCCAAAATCCCCCAAAAAACGAAACGTCGACTAAAAAAAAAGGTCGCCGTCGCCAATTTTCCGTGTCTCTTCGGTCACAAAAACGAAACCCCCTTTGCTTTTCGTCCCAAAAACGATACCCAGCTTGCTTGTAAGCCACCTCGTGCCGAGCCCTGCATACAGTGGAGGCGAGGGGGGGGGGATACTCTGGCTAATACGCTTTTGATGCAAAGATTCAGCTTATCTGGAATCATATATTCACGTAAAATTGTTATGCATATTTCCACTGAAATCTGTTTTCCCAGTTTGAAATCAGCCAGCATTAGATCTAACAATCTAACGAAACTAATACGCAAAGGATCAATTAGGTTAACAAACTTGTTGACACAAATTTTTTGAAGGCAAAAATCAACCTTCGCAGTAACATAAACTGATGTTCGAGTTCAGACTATGTGTGCGGATACAACTGCGGACGAAAACGATGGTATCTCCATCGAGAACATCGGTGGAGTTTTCATCGTTATATTGGGAGGGATAATTTTGTCAGTGATCACCCTCGCTGTTGAATACTTCTTTTATAGGTAATGTGATGATATATCTCATATATATATTCTGCAAAGAAAGCTATTTGTTTCAGAAAGAACTCGGTACACATTAATGAAAATCACAAGGATGTAAGAGAAAGAAGAGAAACCAATGGCACAAGCATTGCGTTACGGAATCATAATGCCTACCGCAGGAACTCGATGAACTGCATCAATCACGTTACCTCCTTCGGTGCTGACAATGCAGGATTTCAGTATTAGTGCATCGTTTTGTGAAAAACATTTTTCATCATAAAAATACATAAACCATTGATACACTGGAATAAATCTGTGCAAAAAATGGTCAAAAATTTGGCTTGCACAGTTCACTGCTGCACTGCTCATTGAGCTATGGTCTATGTGATTACACAACTTTCATAATCAATGAGTCAAGCAGGTGCTTGTAGAATCAAATGTACTGTTGGAAGAACAGATGAGAACGAGAATAACACTTCCATATTCCAATACAAGGCAAAAAGTCTTCATACTTTGAGACAGCGACCTGCAATGCAAGCCCAAAAAGTAGCGCAGTTAGAAAAGAGTATGAGCTACAGTCTGTTCCAATCAGGATCAGGCCAAACCGCTGGCTCAGATTCGCGCCGCGACAGAGAATCCCGCCATGCCAATTTTAGTCTTATTGGGATTGGGACAGACTGTAGTCTCACACGAAGGCAATTGCTCATGAAGCGCGCCACACACGAGCGTTGAACTATGGCGAAATATGCTTAATCACCGCTTTCGAAAAAAAAAAGAAAAAAAAAGAAAATTAGACTACCCGCGTCAGAATTACCGAAAAACGGCCACATTGGGCCACATATCAGGAACACCGTGCAAGCTCTTGGACGGCGCTTGCGCGGAGCGCCAGCGCTTTGTGGAGATTTCGCGCATGCTATGAGCTATAATCCTTCCCGCCATATAGAGTAGGGCAAAACTTAGGAATGTGCACCCTATGGCTGATTTTCATGCTCAAGTATTGCCAATAATGACGGGACACTAAAACAACCAAAGAAATCTAGATAGAATTTCGTAAGCTGTGATAAATGATAAGTGAGCATGACTTGTTATCGATAAGATCTACTCAGAACCTGCTAGATGGACTTGCCTATTCTTAAGTGTATTGATATGGTAAATATCAAAGGTAGTTTTTTCAATCACTCTATTTATATACACGCATAAAAAAATTCTAATATGTCTTCATGATTTTGCTACCGTATCAAAACTTCAGACATTTTTACTTCGATCATGTTTGAAAAGACCACAAAAAGTACTTCCTTTACAAGTATTTCTCACTCTTTTGCAAATGCGAGACGCTAGCGTGTCCTTTTATGTAAGGTAAGGAACGTCAATGTGTTAATGATATAAAAGGTGCGTTGTGAATTAGCAGCATTTATCTATCTGAAGACATCATCGCAGATTATCTGGCTATGAAAATTGGCGATGTATGGAGCTTGCTCTCAAAACTGCGTTCTTACTCGACTATCAGACACTGCTACTTCAGCCCGACCGCAAGCGACTACAGCATATGGTATTGATCGTTTTCTTTTCTCAATTTGACCTTCAAAAGTATGTATTTTGGTGCCCGCTGCGTCAAGGGGGCATCGCCTCGAAATATCAATGCGACCAACAGAGAACTTTTGATTTTGAGAGTTGCAAAATGAGCCCTCTGTATTTGATCAGATTCCAAACCAAGTCTCTACGTTTGGAAAAAAAGCTAACGGATCGTTTTGTGAAAAAAATTAAGGCCTTCGGATTTGCGTACGGTAATTCAAAACTTAGATAATCGCATAAGCTTTTATTTTTTTGCGGGGCAATTCTGATATACACAAGCTTTCCAAGAAATACTAGGTTGTAAAGAAAAAATGTCATTTTTATCGGTTTTTTGGCTACTATTGATATTTCTCAGCTAAAAAATGTACAAAACTGAAACATTACGTACGGAACATTACGTATGTTCCGGTGATGTCACACATGGCTTATACGGAAGGAGCTTAGATAGACTAAGGGCGGAGTTTGCCATTTTCCGTTTCTCTTTTAATTGGCTCGATTTGTATTAAAGAGGGAAGGATTACTTGGTCAAAGTGGAGTTTCCATATGAAGTATGTACATTCTCATAGAACATAGGATGCTGATCCCGAATCTGCTTTCGCTATCTGCGAAGAGCTTCTGGGAGGGAAGTTATGGGAATTTTTAAAGCGAAAATTTGAACGCGCGGCTACGGTAAAATCATTCCGAAGTGAGTCTGTGAGCTTTAATAGCGTAATGTTAACTGCCATGGCGCTTTATGCAAATAGTACCTTCAGCCCTGAAGAAATTATGCCAGTTATTACTCCTTTTAAGCTCCGGGAAGACTTTGTGCCTGTTTTTACTCTAGTCAAATCCTTGAATTTTTGCCGCAAGAAAATTTGCATAACTCCCTTCCCAGAAGCCCTTTGCAGATATCGAAAGCAGATTTGGAATCAGCGTCCCAGTCTCTATGAAATAGTAAACATTTCGTATGGAGACGCTACTTCGACCAAGTATCCTTCCCTTATAAGAAAAATTATAGCAAGGGTATCTATGGATTAATGCATGTGTTTTCTACGCGCACCAGTAAAAGATTTTCAGGAATTTTTCGGGCTGATATCCGATCTTCGAACTGTTCTTGAATTTTTGCATTGAAGTTTGCGTAAATTACTAATCACGCTCATGTACAGCAATTATCTTGTAAAGCTTGTTTTGCTCTATCGAACGATACCCTTCGCATATTTCTCGGTTTCGTCTTGATGCTTTGCCATAAAAAAATGCATTCGTTTCTTTCCAGTACAAACGACAGGTCAAGTAATCAAACAATTATGAATTACTCATCTTCACTTCATCTGTCTCAGAAAATTCAGTATGGAGCGAAACTTCGATCTCTCTTCGCTACTGTAGGAATACTGAGCTTTCAGTACCATTGTTGAATTGGGCCATTTGGAAAATTCTTTAAAAACAAGCCGGAATATCGTGTAGCAGAGTTCTCAAGCATGCTAATTTCATCATGCAAATTTCTACAAAAATTGTCAGCTTTTTTTGAGGCGTAACCACATGCATCGGAAAAGCAATTCTTACTGTTTCTTAATTAACTTATGAAGGAAGCAGGACCGTGGTACATATGTTTCATATCTGAAATTAGCACCTCTGTTTAGCATAATGTGAGAGTTTTTGGCGTGTTCGGTTTTCATTCAAAGGCAAAATGAGACTGTTAAGTGTCAACAAAGTACAAAAAACCTTTACAAAGTCTCTACCGTAATCCTACAGTAATAAAGAGAAATCGAAGATTCGTTCTGTACTGGAAGTTAAGCTGAAGCCAGTTCCAGAGAGTGGTAACCTACAAATCGGGGAAAGACGTAGAGCAAGCGAGTTATTGCCATCAAACAGCGTGCACATTCTTTTGGAACACCTTGTAGATTAGTTTCTAACAAATATACGAAGGGGATCGTTCGATAGAGCAAAACACGCTCTACAAGTTAATCGCCGTACATTCGCGTAGTTAGTAATTTCTTCAATGCAAAAATTCAAGAACACTTCATGACGCCAAAGATCGGATCTTCGCTTCCGGCAAGGCAAAGCACTGAAGCAGGAGTGTTATCAAAGATTAAACAGTGTGCACATTTTTTGGGACATGTTTATTTCAGGTCTGCACACAATCTTCAGCACCACTGGAAAATCTTTCCATCTTTCTGTGAGATGATAAGCAATAATATTGCTAATGTTGAACTTGGGCATAGCAACGCTCATCAGGATTCGATGACCCATTTGTTCTCATATCAGCTTATAAAAATGAGAACAAATTCCATCAGGTGGCAAATCATCAAGGATGCACAGCGCATAGTTGATCACATGTTCGAATTGCATACTTCAGATATAATAACAGCAATCAGGGGTAAAAAGGGTGTGATTAGATTACTGAGTCCATCTGCAACTCGCGCTCGCAGTGCACATTGAAATTCGCTAATGTTGATGAGTCACTTCCTTCTTGAGTCGATCTAAACTTCCCAGTGGACCCTTGTATTTCTATGAGTTTAAAAGTGTTAGATTGTCAAGAAAATAATGTCATTTTTTATTTGCATGCTATGGCAATACACGAAGCATACTTTTTGATAGAACAAGAGCATCCCAATATTTGCTCAAAGTTTCTTCCAGGCCGAAACTAAAAACCAAAGGATTTGAGTGAACGAAGAATCGAAGAAAATGTATCTCCTTTTAGAAAAGCGCTACGGGTTTTTTTCAGGCACATACTTTCTTCATCAGGCATTTATAATATCTTTAAGTTTGCTGGTTTTTCATGGCTAGAAGTGGAATAAAACAATTTTTCTTTTTCTTTGCTGCGAAGCTGCGATGGTCTGCTCCCGCTTAGGTAATTTTAAAGTATGAATCGGTGGAAGTAAAACCATTGATTTTGGCCTTTCACAGGCGGTAGTTTTCAAGAAATATGGAATTTAGCGGAAAGAACCCTGTAAAAGGCTTGTTTTGGCGGTTTGTCCATGTTGGTGTACATGTTTCCTGGGTCCCAGCTATGAAAAAATAAGAAATTCTACAGATAACTACCAGACGTAGAGAGTGTATGCCTAGGCAAGTGTGAGAGGCTCGTAGAACTTTTTTAGACATAGGTACGATTTTTCTCAAATTTTTTTATGCACTCAGATCGTATCAAATTTTGGCTTCAAACTTTTGGAACAAATTTGGAGCAATTATTTGAGTGTTATCTTGTAGAGCTTCTTTGCTATATTGAAGAGTACCTCTCAGCCACAGCAAGCAATTGAAAAACATTATTTTTTGACAGTACTCCTCAGTACTTTTGTAGGACTCCAAAGCTCTCCTGCCGACTTATATTGTTACCTCATCTTTGTACGAAAACTACCAAATATGCAACTGGTCCTTGTATTGATGATATATCCATTCCTTTCACTTCCACGTGTGACAAAAGATTAGATGACCTTGTAAAGCTCTCATATTCAGTCATCTCCAAGTGTCAACATCTACGGGTAGAATTTCTCAAGTTGTTTACGCCTTATCTTCGATATCCAGCACTCTATTAGAGGGAGACAAGTGTTCACTCAGACAAGAGTCAAATGAATTTGATTAAGAAATACGGAGCGAAGCTAACTTTGCACATTGTTCGAATGTGTATCTACTTGTCAGTAGAAAGCATGATGTATTGAACCGGTCCAGAAGCACCTTTCCGCCGAAAAATGGTGGCTTTGCTACAGTCTTTTCAAGTGTGTAAATCTTTGGTCAACTAAAAAAAGCGTCAGAGTTTGAGGTGCCGGAATGTTGAAGTCTTATAGTAAAGAGCAGGAAGTGGAGGTTTCAATACTTACTAATTTCAAATGAGGAAATCCTATGTAGATTCCATGTCCATGGACATTTATACTATTGAACAAAATCTGGAACCTTCCTTTTATGATGGCATCACAAAATTTGAGGTTTTTTCTAAAAATCGACTAGCACAAACTCCCAGGTTTTGATGAGCGGTGAAAGCCATGCTTGATGTTGTTGTAATTTGGATTTTCGTGATGAGCCTTGAAAGCCAATATCCAAGTTTTTTTCCCCAGGATCAAGAATTTGGTAAAACTGTTAAAATTATTAGAAGAATTATAGATTAGAATTGTAATGTGTTTCGATATTTCAAAATTAGTTCTTCGAAATAAATCAGCTAGGAACTTGGTCAAGAAGTAAAAATTGTCAAAACATGCGATAGGCTTTGGCGTAGCTGTGATATGAATTTACTGCAAAAACCTTTTCAAGGGATGGCTCCGAGATCTCTTCCATAAGAAGGGCTATCGAAAAATGTGTGAGACGCAAGATTCTCTGAACTTCATAGGACAATTCCAGTAGTTGAATTTGATACGATATAAACATACTTCTGTGCAATAATTACGCTGAATCACACCACTGGATACATTATCACATAACATTACCCGACATTACTATTATCCTGTCTACTGCCTTATAATTCAATCTTAAGTGTTTGCTGCTCTAGTTTTTCATTTCCTTCCCCTTTGATCTGCTCTTCAGTCTTTGAGAACAAATAATAATTACTTTCTTAACATCTTTTATAACAATTGAGTAACTCACAGCTTATTTAATCCTCAACGCCATTTATTCTAGTGCTAGCGGTACTTTTTACATTATTAAAAGCCTAAGCATCATCAGCGAGGAGATTAACTTCCTTGTTTGAAGTTTCATGAAGTACCAATCAAGAAGTGGAAGTAAGTAACGAGCCAATCCATTGCGTCGTATGGTAATCGCACCTTCGTCTTTGCTTTATATTACTTTTACTTGAGTCTGATGTTTATTTTTATTGTGATTATAGTTTGCTAGAAGCTCATGGATTATGAAAAGCTCATAACAGACCCCGGCTTTTTGCTGGTGATAGCGTCGCAAGCCTTTGCTGGAGCATTCTCAGCTGTTGTAGCTATCGTCGCGCTGAAAAGATGTCGAGATCTACATTTTCATGTGAACTGCAGAGTAAGTGAAAACCAAAAAATAAGTGTAATTTCTCCGAGTGTAAATGACTAATAATTTGACCATCTTGGATCTGGAAAAATGCTAGGAAAGAATTTTCAAAGAGCGTCATTCCAGTGCTTGATTTCAACGATTTTTTCTTGACTGGGGTATTATGGTCCTCTTCGAAATGAAAGTTACTTCGAGTTTCGTTTTATTTCATTCAATGGTCAAATGCTAAATATAGCTCGAAATTCTAAAAGGCTTCACTTGCTACGTCTCCACGTTTCTGTATGTCTTTTTGCAGATGCGACATTTTGTTGAGTTGGCTTCCGTCCTCCTGAATTTCTATGCTTCTTGAAGATCATCTGTAGAATAATTAACAGCTAAACATGGTCGAACTCGCTTTTTGAACCTTTCAGAATTTATCAAATATATCCCTTTGCGATCTATAGAGCCACCAATAGTTATTGGTTCTTTTTGAACAAATCAGACAATTGCAACTTCAAGAAGTTTGCAATTTTTCTGCAAGTGAAAGATACTGCGAAGCGTCCTGCCTCTTTTGAATATGGCAGATTTCTGATTTGCAACAGAGTGAAAAGTAGAAAGAAGAACGGGAAAGCTTCGCAGTGGCTTGGAAAAGAAATAGTCTGTTGAGCAGTCATTTGCTAGAGGTAACAGATCTCACGCATAACCTAGCAGCACGAAATTCTCTTAAACGTTCATTGCAAATACCTTTCAAATCCCATCTACTACATAGGCATTTTTCTTCTACCTCAAGTTAACATTTTCGGGATTGCAGTCATCACACTCTGCAATAAATCATGTTTGAAATAAGTGTTCACAACATCTCAAAATCTATTTTTTTTTATTTCAGATATTGATAAGCACTCTGCTTGTACTGATTTTTGTACATTCAGCCTGCTTGACAGTACTGCAGGTAGCTCTTGTGAAAATCACACAAGCAGATCTTATATCATACCCTGATTTAGGTACTGCAACTGACAAGATATCTGCTGTATCCAGATCCAAACAAAGCCGCTATTCCTGCAACAGTCTGTTTTGGTTTGCGTTTTCCAGCAACGGTGTGCATGACAGCATTTGCCATACTTCAGGTTAGACAAATTGGATTTGATGTTTTCAAGCTTTTCAGCTATTTTGTTTTTGTTTTTCAAAACATGACCTGTTCGGTTTCTTGAGTAGCGCATCTTCATGATCCAGTGCTCCGGCTTTCTATAAAGTGTAGACAAAAGTTGGATTGTTTACTCATGTACATAAATTTTTCAGGTCGGTATGATAGCTGAACGAGCAATTGCTGTGTGGCAACGCAGTCGCTACGAAAGTCTAGGAATCGCTGTGGGAATTATTATCACTGGACTATGCGTGAGTAGATAATTTACTAGAAGAAGGTCAACCGTTTGCACTTATACACCTTTTCTATATTCAAATGATTGCATAAGTGATTTTCGCTCAAAGAATAGTACGGGAAAAGCTGAAAAATTTTGTAGTATCTTGAGAGAAATCAGCCTGCAATTGAGCTGATGGGAATTTCAAATTTGGAATTTCGAATTTCACAAAGTTAAACGAAGTCAAACAATTAATTTGAGGCTTACCAGATTTATTGTAGATAAACGATAGATCACGCAGTCTGTGCATAAGCCAGTCAACAAGCTAAGTACTTACTGCTTCTGATTCTCTGCCGTTACCGTTAACCTCGCTTTGAGATCCAGAAGGTTTTGAGTTACTAGAGTGGCTAGTTATTTCAGCGTTCTCGACAATTCATGTGCAGTAAAGGGGTGCAGAATGAGTATTACTGTAGATACATTTCAGAGCAGTGGCGATTTCTTGGCAGTTTTCATCATTTCCCGCATAAGTCCAAGCATTACTGTTTTGAAATCACCAAATGACCAGTGTTTTGAGTAAATCGAATGCGTAAATGCGAAAAAGACATTTCGTGGCATATCGGATTCAACATGTCGTTCAAGCGCGTCAAGGCTTTCTGATATATTCTTTCTGATAGCAACGTCTTGTTCTTCAGGAATTGAGGGATAGCTAGCAGCCGATTCCGTATAGATATAGGGCTATACGTCATTTTATAGCGAGGTTGCGGGAATGCACACGAAGATTGGAGCGCTTTCTGTGAAATCTTAAAGGTTTCCTTATGAGGGTTTGTTATCAAAAAGCGTGTTACCTGCTCTCTACAGAACACAAAAACATAAGACTCCTGAGAGCATCAGGCAGTCACATAAAATGCAACTAAACTCTATGATCAGAACGATTAAATCTCAGTATTGGGTTGAATCGCACATATTTAAGTTGCAAGAAGCCAAGTGTATTTGCTTGAAGTTAGAACCTTTCAGGTAATCGTATCTGCATTGTTCTCCATGTGGGCGCTGATGCAAATGAATTTACGCACAGTAACTGTTTACTGCTCCGCTGGCACCCCTGAGACCTCATTCAGAGTGAAAGTACTTACGATGACTTTTTGTGGGATTGACGGTTTTACCTTAATCGCGACTGGCTTGGTCTTTTCCTGCAATGCTGCTGCTGTTAAACGGTATGCTCATATTTTTTCCTTGCACCTGAAAAATTTTCAAATTGAAAATTTAGCAAATTCTTCGACTTGCAGTCTTCATATCAGCTGAAGGAAAACTTGGAAGTACTTCGTATCATTCTGCCGATGTCTACGTGTCAGGCCATATTTCATCTTACATTTTCCTTGAGTAACTCCATACTGGCTAGCTACGAAAGCAGTTTTTTAATGGTGACTTATCGAACATTATTTGCAGCTACTTACGTAAGTTGATCGGTGTCTGTCTAATGTTCCCTTAATGGACTTGTAACTTTCAGATAATTCCCTACTACACGATGATCGCTCCAATTCTGTTGATGCTGCTGCTAAGAATTACGTTTCATAAGCGAGCGAGCAAGCTCAATGTCCTCACGAAACCCGCCGCCAAGGAAAATGACATGTATTTCACTACCTACTCAAAGATGTGGATGACTACTGCATATAATAAATCGTAATACAGTTTCTGCTGTTTTGTCTTGCGCAATATTCAACCAGTGTTTTGTTTATCCAGCCTATCATTACTACTTAACGACGAATGCAAAAGACGCATTTCAATCAAATCAGAACGAACATGTCATACATAGATGGACATTTACGATTGAGCTATTTTAGGCATTGGTTCAGAGAGTGGTATTCAGTGACCGTATCCATCGACGAACCCAGAGGTTAGCCTACCGGGGGGAGGCTAACCCATAGTCACTAATCACGAAAGCCTTCGCTGCTGGGTTAGCTTAGACAGCAGCGTTGACGTCAGAGGGAATCTCTTGAGATTTACGACAGCAGGGTGCCCTTTGACGCCTATATAAAGCACTCTTGCGTCAATTTGTGATTTTCAAGTTTTTCGCTATTATTATTCATGCCCATACATATAGAACGTATTCATGAGCGCCTCAGCAGGGTTATCTACCTTCAAATCTTAGCTTTGCATTCTTACTACGCAAGCTAATTGTTAGAATGGACCGTATGGCGGAATCCTTGATCAAGGGCTTCCATCTTTCCAATTGTCGACATGCTTCGGTGTACAAGAGTCCAGAATCATAAAGTGCAGAAGCTCGGATTGAGACCTTGAAAATGTGTGGTAGCAGCAACGACTTGTGAGAGTTGATCTAAAACTAGAAAACCAGAAAATTCCCAATTCTTATCGTACAAGGATTCTTTAGCAGTCTACAGCCGTTTTGACTCCACTGTCTCTGTTATGCTGTTGGAACCTTCATTTTTAGTGTCAGTCCTTTGCAATGTTTCTTCAAAGTTTGGTAATTTGCTATCTCAAAATTAGATGTCGAAGATGTTTGGAACGTATAAACCATCTGCGACTGTTGAAAATAACAATTTTGCGCAGTTTTTTTTTCTGAGGATGTCAATATGTGCCAGAGGACGTAAGAAAGTAGACTGATCACAAAGTAAATAGCCTCGAGTAGTATTGGTTGAGTAAAATGAAATCTCTTTGTTGAAAAAATGAAATGAAATAGTGTAGTTAAAATCCTCTGCGCCTGCTTTTCGTAAGGAACCAGGGGTGAATTAATTTTGTGAAGCAAACCTGTGAAACTCTTTATGCACGATTTTTTTGCCTTGTATCAACTATCGGCTCTCAACAGTTACTTCCTGATTCGACCTACATTCTTCACACTTCATGATAATCATCCGATGAAATCCATAAATTCGCACTGAGTCTCACTCAGATATGTAACATCTAATAAATACGTCCATCTGAAGTATACATGTGGTTCTATTCATTTTATATGTGCCCCGAAAGAGAGCGGTGGTCAAAGTTGTTGGCCCTGAAAAAGACCTTCGGATTAGCGCTCTGAAGTCAACGAAAGTCGTCAAAAACCTTTGTTCTCCGAAATTGTAGGGATAACGGAGTAGATGCGTCCATGGCGGTGATGGCCTTCGGGTGCTCGCAGAAGGTGACGGCGAGTTCCTAAACTAAAGTGCATGAGCACTGCCTCCATTGGTTTGTTTGCTTCTGTTTTTCTTATTTTCTTACTTTTATCAACCATTGAAAAAAACATGCTCAGAATTTAGGTGGTCACCCTGTGAATCAGTTCAAAAGTGAAGGTAGGGGGAGAATCAGCCCCCCCCCCAAATATCTAAATCTGATAGGAACGCAAAAGTGTAAGACTCACTAATTGGTCAGCCTGGTAGAAGGATCCGCATCAATAGATTTTGAGGGTTGGACCAGACTGCGAGGTGTGGCATTGCCCCATATCTTTGCGCACTTGTGCATACGTTAACTAACGAACCAAAGCTTCAGGATAGAAATACGGATGTGTTGTGATGGGCAATTCAGTGAATGTGAATCAACAAAACAGAAATTTCGATGACGACTAGGATATTGCGCACAATGAACGTTGATTCTATTTGCCAATCCTGGCTTCACAAATGACAAGAAAAGAAGCCCGTAGTAAAGATGCTTCAGTCGATCTCATCCGAAGAAGGCCTCAGTTGAGCATTCGACGAGTTAGCTTTGCCTCCGTGCAGCCATTGATTGACAATTCCAACCATCCTGATTATATTAACCTTGACGTCGATGTGGACCACCAATGGCCCACACCTCTTACAGCATATCTTTTCCAAGTTCAACATTTTTTCAAATTTTTGCACTCGGGGTATACTACGAAGCTCTTGGGACCTGTAAACACCGTCGTCCAGGTAAATGTTCATAGTATACTTGGGTCCGAATCGAATAGAAATTCGATCATTCGAATAAAACATTCGAATATATTCGTATTCGAAATTCGATATTCGGAGTTCTTCCATTTTCGAATAATATTCGAAACTCGAATAATCAAAAAACAGGGTTTCGAATAAAATTCGAAAACTCGAATAATCAAAAAACGAGGTTTCGAATATTATTCGAAAATTCGAATAATCAAAAAACGGGGTTTCGAATGGATTTTATTCGAATGTTTTATTCGAATGTTTATTCGAATTCGTATTCGAATGACTTTGTATTCAGATTATTCGACTTTGTTGCAAAGCCAACTGCTGAGTATCAAGCTCACTTCGTCCGCGTTTTTTTCCGCAGAACTCGGTAATGCATCTTTTGCAACCGTTATACCTTTGAACTGTATGGAGAGTCGCATTCTTCCGACTGCTTGCGACAGTAAAAAAATTATATGTGGATTATAATTGATGTAGAAAGTAGAGCAAGCCCTTTGCTTTTACATTGTTGATGCTGATAAGAAATAAAGTTAATTCTGGTGTACATCAGTCTCTTTCAGACCATCTGAAGAAGAATCTTATGGGCACAGCGAAAAAATTTATATCGACTGCTTTTTAGATCGTCCATAATGGGTAAAATATGACTTTTTGCTGATGTATAGACTAGATGCCGACCGACCGACTTTATCAATTTTTGGGGAAGTTTGAGCTGCGGGGCTGAGATGGTACAAGGGGGTAAGTGAGGGTGCTGATTATGGATAAAAATTTACTTTATAAATTTTATCGATTTTTGGAAAATCTCGAGCTACGAGCTTGGGAGTTGGTACAGGAGGTACATGAGGAATGCTGATCAAAACCGAAATCTACTTTATCGATTTCAGCAATTTTTGGAAAAATTTGAGCTAGGAGTTGGTATAGGGGATATTAGGGGGCTGATTATGATTGGATCGGCTCTAGCCAGATATGTCGGCAAGTTTGAGATGTGACTTTAGTTATTCGAAATCATTCGAATATTTATTCGAAATTCGACTTCCAATGTTCGAATATATTCGATATTCATTCACTCGATATTTTTGATTTTCCGAATTTATTCGAAATTCATTCATTCGATATTTTTGATTTTCCGAATTTATTCGATATTCGTTTATTCGAAATTTTTCCTTTTCGAATTTGTTCGATATTCATTCATTCGATGAAAAATTCTCGAATTACCCAAGTATAGTTCATAGGTGTTTATAAAATAGCCCTACATCTCGTAAATAATCACGAAAAATTCAAAATTATCATTTTGTTTAAAATATCAAAAATGTAACTTCAATACTTGCAACTGGGATGTTCCAATGTGCTGATTACAATTACAGTACTGATGCTCCATCCTGGAAGGTTATGGTAGGAATACGGTAAGAAACTAAATACCACGAAATTGCCTCAAAATTTGCGCTCTGGTATACCTGCAACTGCTGAGCTCGTGAAAAACGCCGCGCAGTGCACAATTCCGCGCTCGCCACAGACGGCCTATACTTCTCGCTAAGAATTTTGTGAGAAGAGATATATCATGAATGAAATCAGTTGTTTCTTGACGACAACATAACATTAATCAAATCTTATTCGTTTAGTGCTCTGTAATCTTTTTCACAAGATAACAACAAAATCATGATTTCAAATACTGTCTACGTAACAGCAAAATAACAAGGAATCTCAAAAGCACATAGAAATATAACAATGGAGAGATCAAAGAAGCGTGCAGCCCGAGGCCGCCTGAGGAGATCCGTATTCAAGATAAAAAAATCAAATCACCTAAAAAACAAAAAGCTTCCAGCAAAAAAATGCTATGAAAGTACTCGCATTTGATAAGAAGTGATTTACTATCACTTGAGAAACAAGGCACCGGATAAGCAAACTTCGTTTGCATTCAAAAAAGTGACAGTCTGACGCGCTGTTGAAATAAGAAAAAAACCGGAAGCGCAACACTTCGCAATTCATGCGAATCGTGAAAGCAATTAACACAAAAATACTTGTAACACTACATCTTGTATTCATACGTCTAGCGTTGTTAATGGTGTAAGCGCGCCCAAAAGCCTTTGCCATTTTATAACAATTTGTACATATTCTCCGTGTGGCCCTCTTGTGACCACGTATCTGCACCAGCTTATGTCGTGTAGATAAGAAGGAAACTTCTTCCTTGCCTAGTAGTACTTCAACGATGTTCATCTTGAACACGTTCAGTGATCTTCCTTATGATATCGCGGTAAAGTTTACACGCGTTCACCATAGCAGTTTGCAGCATCAAATAAAGAGCGTAGGCGCTTATTTGATCTCTCTGATCAACAAGACCCTTCATTTTGTTGTAGTCTGCTACTACTTTCGGCTCTCCGTTTGATGTGCATTCATCATGCATTGTCGAAATCACGATTAGATCTCGCTTATCTCGCCGCTTCAAAGCTAATATTCCATCGCGACTTTGCATACACAAAAAGCTGCCCTCTTGTCAGTCGCAAATCCTTTAGTCGTTTTGGTATGCCCACTCGATTCTTTCTCAACGTGCCGACGTATGCGTTTTCCTGTTTCAAGTCCCTGGCCATTTCAATGCTAGAGTATCAGTTGTCTGCACACAGGCGTCTCCCTTGATCGAGAAGTCCGTCCATTACAGTCCGCACTACAAACGCCGACAAAGGCTCAGATCTCGATGACTATTTCCCGGGAGATGGTCGAATGCGCTTATTGATCGGCTGTTTCAACAAAGAGAACCACGAAAAGATTACAATCTACCTTGTTCCTTCCGGATCTCAATCATGTGATCCTCCTCTGTACTCTCTCATATACTGACAAAATTTTCGGACTCCAATAATCTTGATTCTGTGGAGTATGAATCCATTCTGGCAATAGCAACCGCCGAAATGCACGCCATTCGACATACACCTTTATTTCCCAGCGTAGATTTTCGTTCGCCATGTGTTCGCCAGCCGCCTCTGCAGCAAAGTTTGAAAGGCTTCATAACATATCGATGTCCTTTTGATGGAATGTACTGCTACTGCCTGAAGATTAGTCGTCCGCTAAACGGTATTAGTGATCAATCAATGCAGAGTTCCTTGCCGGGCAGAAACTGTGCTCACAAGCGCGATTAAAAAGGACCATAAAAGAATAATTTTGAACGGCCCTGTTCTCGTTCGAGTTGTTGTTGCCGGCAAAGTGGAGCGATCTTAGCAATTCCATTTTCGCCATTCGCATTTAGAGGCACACAATGTATCCCCGGATTTCTTCAGCGTTTGTGTCCTGAATGTCTGCATCCTTCGACTGCCCGTAGTTGTTCGTTCCTTCGACGATCAGCGACATCAAATAGTCGTTCAAAAACAACTCGTAGACGATTGGATCAACACAGTTGTATGCAGGATCGCAATTCGACCACAATTTGATGAGAAACTCCAAGGGTCATGTGCCACTACTTCGCTCGTCCATGAGTCATCGCTCCCGTCGTCCAAAAGCTTTGCACAACACTCAGCGGCACCCCAACTATCTCACGCAACTACACCCCTGCAAGGGGTTCTTAGCTTTTCGTTTGGATATATAGAACTGATATACATAAGGCTTCATGCATACCTAACGATAGAAGTATGGCGGGTGGGGAACAGTTACTGTTAGGGCTGCTCTAGCTGCTCACAGCTGCTGAACATGAGTATCTTTACGGGCAAAAGCGAGCTAGCCTTGAACATTTTTGGTCTAGCAAAGATTGTAGTCGAATAACTAGCTTGAAAAATTCACCAGGTCTAAAAGAATGATTATGTGAAGCCTTCGAAGCCTGAAGCCCTCAAATTTGGTGTCGGAGGATAACTCTCAGGTGTGCTTGAAAAAAATTCCATGCCTTTGGTTGTTGTTTATGTATCAAGTGTACTGACAATATTATGCTGTATTCGTTGATACATATCGTCAGCTATGGTTATCCATCTTCAAATGTGCATGGAAGCTTACAAGGGAACTGTCAGAAATCGCAGTGGCCGTTTGATATGAGACGGGTACCATACGAATCAACGTGGAACGGTGATTCCAAGGGCTTGCTTGGCGCTTTTGGCTGCACTCTGCGGTGTAAATTTTGGGTAGAGGAACGAACGCCTCAATTAGGCATCGTCTCCGCGGGCTGCTGGTCCTTTCGTCCTACTGTTGTGCATCGTGTTGGGACCAGTGGTCCGCGGAGGCGGTGCCTAACTGAGGTGTTCGTTCCTCCACCCGTAAATTTTTTACTATCAAAATATAATCTCCAACTCAGGTTCGTTCTGCAGCTAAAAACGAATGTTTTGGAATCAGCGTTTCAAACTGTTTCAAATAGTACCTCTCTTATGTCAAAAGGCCACTGCGACTTCTGACGCTTCCCTTGGTAGGCAAGAATAGTCGTATTTTTTACGGGTGCTCTCATCTCAACATCCCCACAACGAAAAAGAATGTGGAAAGCGGTTAACAGCATACTTTAACCAAATCGTTTAAGAAACCATCTCTTTTCCTTTTTCCCCTCAAGAACTTCAAAGACGATGAAAGCTTCCATTGCAACCCTCTCTCCGCTCCCAGCGAAAATCTATATATCTATAAAACTCAAACTTTGTAAGTGTGTTCGTTTATTCGTTCGTTATAGAAACGCCAGCCGATGAACCAACTGGGCTGAAACTTTGCACACATATGTATTCGACCCCGGAGGTGGTGCTTTTTTTGCAGCGATTCGCTGGGGAATTCTATTGATTTATTGGTTTGTTTACTTGCATCTGTGAAAGTCCAGCATGCTCTAACCAATCATTCTGCAATAACATGTAAGCAGGGCGGTGAATCTCATTCTAACCTTGAAGTCGGCGGAATGCGGCAGCGCGGCAGTTCGTCTCAACGCTCTTTTCGCAAGTTTGAAAGTGTAAGTAAAACATTTTGATATGACTAATTTAGTCTCGGGTGAAACCGGGACTACCAGCTAGTAGATTATAAATGTGGCAAGAGTAGAGGGGTGAAGAGACTGTAAAGGTAAAACACGAGAAGACAAAACGTACTTCTTTTTGCGGATGCACACTCCTGATACGCTCCTTGTCTAGATCCCTGATCTCCTGAATAGAGAAAATATGCACAATAATTTTAAATCTTAAATAGAAAAGGACAAGAGCGCACGATCCAAATGAAAATTGCAGATAGAACTGTAATTTATTATGAAAGAAGTGCAAGTCTCTAAACATGATCACCAAAAAACGCGCCTGGGGTAAGGGAGATGAGATTTCGTTTGCGAGTAGATTATGCGAACGTTGTGAATAATCTCCTCAAAGTCGCAAAACACGTTTTATTACAAGTTTCCATTATTATTGCAAAAGCAAAAATAACTCTACCTTGGAGTGGCGAAGTTGGGCAAAATGTGTGTCAGGAGGGAATGGACCAACGGTGCCCTAAAATGCCGGTGCCCGAAATTGTTGTGCAATATCGCGCCATCAATATCCCACAGCGCCGCCACGCAGAAATAGGCGTCGTCGTCAATGGGTTAAATGAGAACGCTGCGTTCATGCAGGTATAGGGGCCTGCATGATCGCGAGAGTTGGATGTGCGTACGGCCATTGCGGCGCGCACGTCAGATGTGCCTCCGACAAATCAGGTAGGTGCCAGACTTATCCTGTTCAACAGGTTCATTCCGTTCACTACCTTTGTTGTTGGACAGTGTAGTGATTTGACCTATAAACCGAACGAACCGTTTGAAGCGGATAAGTCTGGCACCTGCCTTAGTGACATCGGACGTGCGCGGCGCAATGGCCATACGCACGTCCGACTCTCGCGATCATGCAGGCCCCTATATTGGTTAAGACGCATTTGCCATACATCACTCTATGTGATTGGCACTAGCGACGGAGATGTGGCCGCACTTGTTGGATCTTGTTGAGTATCATCAGCCTGTACTTTGACTACTCACTCCGTATTACTTCGACATGTCATAGTGACTGTATTGTAAGTTAATCAGGAATAACTTTCAAAGTTTTTCTCTAAATCTCTCGTTAGGACACTATTTCGGGGGATCACGCTTTGATCATCTCCCGTGACTTGGCAGAGAATTGATCTTCTGCCAAACTTGACCTAAGGCTCATACGTCAGGTGACGTTGCATTCTTATAACATGAGGAAGTGGGTGGTAGTCATTTCACCTAACAGAACCTCATATGAGGGCTTCAGGGTAGGCCATCTCCACTGATCGGGATCTACTAAAGAATGCGATTGTTTAAGGTGTCGACGTGATGGTAATAACAAGCCTGTTAACCTTTGAACGGCTCGCAAAAATTTTCAGAGATGCTGCCAACATATACCACAACGCCATGATGGAGTTTATCAAAAAGAGAGTTTGAGAGTGCTGTCAACGAGTCATCGCCGCATGAAGGCTTAGTTCTAGACCAAATCCAGTCCTCGCCGTCATCCCAGGGACGAAGTTTCAACCTCTTTGAATAGATGTACTTTTCAACAAACCCATGAACTTATCTCAAGAAAGCACTAAAATCATTCTGATAGAAGAGTATTTGTAAAGAAAGCACGGAACAAAGAACTCTGCAAAACAGTATTATCCAAAAAATGCGCAACTATTTTTGCCACACGCTGCTAATAGCCCCGCACTTTCGCACCTTAAAATGAAAGCGCTTTACGCACGAGAGGTTTGGGTATTTGGATTATTTTGCACATTATCAGAAAATCATGTTCACTGGATTCTGATTCCAGACACATTCAAAATCTTAGCAACCCCTGATATGAAACTGTTTTGAGCGGTTATTATACTGTAGCACTGCGCATTTAGTCGCCTTGCTGTCTCGCCACAACCATATATAATCGAAACCAGTTTCGGTCGGGTAAGTAGTTGTAATAATTGATTTTTGTTTGTAACATTGTGTAGCCAGATCTTTTCCAATGGAGTCCATGCCGATATTTGTGGCATAAATCGCGTACTCGAGCTCCGTACTCTATTATGAAATACTGCTTCTTCTGCGCTTTACGTGCCCCATCACTAAAACCTTTGGGGGAGGGAGGTGCATGCTAACAGACGTCATTGAGCAATGTCGCATTGCTTGCGCCAGTAGACCATCATGTTCAATCAAACCCATGGTGTTATCGATGTTTTGTCCCTCGGAACGTGAGCATGTGGGCGTGACTGTTGGAAACTTCATGTTTTTCGATTACACAAATAAACTCATTGTATTTTCATTGAGTTGCTGGGATCTGTGGTCTGTGGCGTTCCTCGATTACAGACATGTACACCATTTTTATACATATACTTCTTTTACTCAATCTTCACTTCTAGATAGGAAAGGGTAAAATCCTTGGCTAACCAGTTCATGTTCCACGATACTATTTTTGCATGGTCCTATATTTCCATGTATTCAGCTGTTTGAGGGTACTTTTCACTTTTTCATCAATGCCGCATTAGGAATGCCACAGAACTTAAAAGCGAGCATAACGACGCTTACCGACATTCCACAAGAGCTGCTTTGGCATACGCTGGTCAGCGTACATACAGTGGATGTTGGTTTTTGAAGCAAACGACTTATCGAGAACCCGTTACAAATCAGGCTCTTAATCGACTATTCACTTACATGTACCTTGTCCATTTGCGATACCCTATTGCGAGAAGTTTTGCGAGCTTTATGGGCTATTGCTTGATTGTCAAAAATGTTCGTTAAACACTGGCATACTATAGCAAAGCTCTGTGGAGGTGAAATGAATGTCACGGTAGTCGCAAGAATTGCGTCCATCACAGTTTTTCTCCTAGAGCGGGGCCAGTGAGTAGCGAGAACCTGAGAATCTCAAATCGCCCCGCAAACACACCTTACATATGTGTATGGTCCAATCTGGTATACAGACTTAGGCTGCTGCATGACAAAACGCAATATCATTGAGCGCGAACGCGGATTCATTAGCCGAAGAGCGCATGAGGCGCAGTGATTACAGCGGTGAAGATACGCTAGCACCGGCGCCCGCCCAAATAATACTGCTTTTGCGCTTTCGTATGCAGCAGCCTTTATGTAACTCCACTGATGCTGCGCGCTTTGCAAGAAATAAAAAGCGTCAGAACTTGTGGCTCTGTGATTACAAATCAGTTTGGGAAGAAGAGAATGTCGCTACTTGGTCTTTTTGTAATGTAATCACGAATCAAGTCATATAAGGGCGGTATTCTATAGAAGTCATGTTTTACCAAGATGGTTTACTTGCTTCCATCATTTTCAAAAAAAATCGCGAATACTTACACAGTTTTGACTAACGCAGTGGGTTGGTTCATAATTCTTGCATCAAAACTTCATAAAATCTAACTAAGAACATCAAGAGAATCGTGTGCATTTTCAAGATGTTTTAGAGAGTTTTGTATAACTTTTGTTGCGAGGCACATGAATTTAGAATTTACAACCAAACTGTAACTATAAATGGACTTTCTCAAAGCTCTTCCTGTAGATAACCGCTTTGCGATCCCTTTCCGCCATCAACGTGCCTTTGTCAAAGCATCATAACCTTTATGCCTCTCACCGACGCGTCAAAGGCAGCAAATAAAGCTGCGTTGCGATCATATATCCGGAAGATCAGAGCGTGAACTACAGGGTGTCCCAAAAAATGTGAACACTGTTTGATCGTTGATAACCTCGTAGCTTTCATGTCTTTCGCCGAGCTTGAGGCACCATTCTGTAGAGCGAGGTTCAACTTAGATTTGTAGTATGGAGCGAATGACCGATCGCTTGAACTTCTAGCATGTGAATCCATTGTGAAGTAGACCATTTGACAAAATTTTTATTGAAAAAATCTGATAAATCGAGTACTAAGGTTTTCAGCACGCTGATTCCACTACACAACTTTTTACGAGCGTTTTTAGCTTTTTCAACGGTGTAGTCACATTTCTGACAAATGCTGGAAATTCAGTTATCACGGTTTACCCTGGATAACCTTGAAAACAAGCACCGCAGTAAGGTGAAAATTTCATATTCGAAATCACCAGCTTCCATTATCATAGCATAAAAGTTTTTGGCTTGTTTTTGTTCCGAGGAGAATATGGCCTGCAATGACCTAAAACCCTTCTCGAAGATCCTACCGTAACCCTACAGTAATGAAGAACGATTCGCGCCATAATGTAGATCTAAGTTAAACCTCACTCTATAGAATGATGCCTCAAGCTCGGCGAAAGACATGAAAGCGAAGGAGTTACTACAATCAAACAGTGTTCACATTTTTTGGGGACACCCTGTATAGTCGAAATCGTACAGAGACTGAAGACGTTGATTTCGAGTCTATGGAACTTACAGTCGGTTTCCTCCCGGATTAGGCGACACTTCTACGTGAAGCAGCATGGGCGCATAGCGCTGGAATTTTGCCAAGCAAAGAACAAGAAGAGAAAAGAGATGCATGCTTAGGTTTTATGGCATACTGTAGCCGCGCCACGGCGCGAACTATTGAAAGGCGAACGCAATCCAAGTTCTGCCTAAAGCGGGTCGAAACTCGTTGTCCGTCCGGTGCGTTTCTGTTCCTAAGATGTGAACTATTTCCGATGTTCTGCCTTTCTCCCTCCAAAAAGCAGCAAGCCCTTTTTGGCAATGGTAATGTCCCTTTCTAGGTAAAAGGGGTGTTTAGCTTTTCTTCATAGGTTGTAAACGTGGCTGGTAAACAAGTGTCATCTTCGTGAAGGTGTTGAGTGGGGAAGGATGACGAGAGAAAGAGGTGGAAGTTCAAAAATTCCGTTAATGTAAAATGATGCGCCTCTATCTATGAAACCACTATGTGATTAACATAACTCAAAGTTTTCTTCAGATCAACTGGTGTGGATTCCCTAGTTTCACTGGTTTTGAGTTGTAATTGCTTACAGGTATGAGGCTTTCTTTTTAAAGACAATTTCTATTATAATTCTTACTTCCTTGTTTTCAATGATAACAACTGCGTTTATTGACTTCAATAACTGTATCAACTTCATTTTCCGTCAATGTTAATGAGCATGCAGCAGCCTCTACTGTTCTAACCTACTTTCAGTGAAACAAGACCACCTAGGGACTCATTAATTATAAAATCTGCCTCTGACTGTAGTTAACCCTCCCACGTACTTTCGTCAGTAAGAGACAGATGAAGTATTAGCCTTGCACATCGACTGACATTATCTTTGTGGCCCTCCTCATAGTAAGTGGCGGAGAATAAAATCACCATATAACCTTAGCTGAACGGAAGCCGTCTTTGCATTCATCCTGATTATGCTTTTGCATGAAAATGGTTCACCAGCCGCCCATATATCCAAACTTTCCTCGCCGCTGTAAAATGGTCGCAAATACTATATCGCTTTTATCAAAATGTGATGAAGATTTGAAAAGTATTTGCAAAGAATATTTTCAGGAAATGTCTTGTCGGGACTTTCAGCTCCTCATAAAGGATGAGTGGTTTCTGTTAGTAATTTCATCACAAGGATTCGCTGCTATATGCTCGGCTGCGATATCCCTTTTCGCTATTAGAAAATGTATGGACCTACATTTCCATGTGAATTGCAGGGTAAGTCCAGCTTATAATTTCGTACGCATCAATTAGCAATTAGCATTATAACAACTTGCTATTTTGAGACTCAAGCCAAAGTTTTGATTTCATTACTGCTCATGTGTTTTATGAATGATCAATTACACTTAAGCTTTAGATATTGCTAATCACTTTACTGATGCTATATTTTCTCCATTCAATATGTCTGGCAGTGTTACAGGTAGGCGTAAATTCCTTTGCAACACTTATTATTTCTCTGAAGCTCCAATTTGCAATATTAACGAGACATAGTGATCTGCTAAGAGCATATTAGAATGATCTGCAAAGGGCAGATTCAGTCGACTTTTGTAGGCTGCTTTTGGAGTACAAATCGCGTATTGAATTGGTACCAACGTTTTCTCTCATCACTTCGCATCCGTATTTTCATTACTGTAATGAACTTTTCACTGGTTTTGTCCAGAGAGGACACACATACATCAAAAGATCTTTTCTTGTTTCTGACTATGCACAAATAGAAGGTAGAAAAGGCGAAGGTTTTGCAACTCAGGGTTTTTAACTGAGCAAAGTTTGTGATTATCGCATGTCTAAAAACTGGAAGCTCAAAAACTTGACATTTTCATATGGTTAATTTCAGATGACTGAACTTTAGTGTAAACTTCGTCTGTAAATTGGTTATACCGTGACAGAAAGGTGTAAGCTTTTTCTCAGTGATAAAAAGAAATACACGCGTAGTAAAAATTTTGCTACGCAACCTCTAGAATTTTTTGGAGATTACTCATCTCATCTATACATATGTAAAGCTGAGTGTTGGTGAATTGTTAGTTAGTGTGTTCTTCAGAGAAACTTTTGAGTGTGGACGGATCAGCGCCATTTGCACACATGTCTTCGACGCTAGTCCATCTCGTAGGCTACTTTTCTCGGCAAAATTCCCACTCCTTCTATTGATTTATTTATTTTGAAGAAAATGAACTCTTAGGAAGTAATATCAAGCCGCTTCCATCTTTCGTGTAAACAATAACGGTAGAACTCATTTTCATTGCACAATGCTGGAAATGCCCTGATTCACGGCAATGCTGTCAGCAGGTATCTGCCATGTGTTACACGGAAACCAGAAGGAAGCCAAACAGATACGTTAAGCCTTTAGGTACGCAAGAAGTTCGTTGTTAAGCCATTTGCCCGCGGGGCAGGCGAAGCTGGGCGTGCCAGCTAGTCCAAAATGTGCTTGTAATTTTAAAGTTGGAGAAAGACATTGGAGCAAGAAAGATTTCAACGATCAGGCCCTTGTCTGAGACATCCTCTCCTACCGAGTGCTCACCTTTTTCATGGTTTCAGTATGTCAGTGGCAGATGATCGAGAACAACTTGCAAACCGAGTTTGGGACTCATATAAAGGTTTTGTCCAATTTAGAAATAACCTGAGGATTGTTATGCAGGATCTTGTGAGGCACTTTCACTAACGATGCTTACATGTTGAGGAGACTTAACTATCGTGCATCCACTTTCTATCGTGTATACGATACTTTGCCTATTTCGGGTGCACGAGGCTATTATATATAGGACTCAGATTTGCGGAGTTTGATGCCAAGTATGGTCAATAGCTTAAATTAAGCAATTACTCCCTTGCCTTTAGCGTTAGCATCTAAAGATTAGAATGGACCATTTTAGTTATTTATCAGCTAAAAAAATGCAAAACTTTCGATTTCAAATTATGCAGAATTAGTGTGTAGCAAAAGCTAATACGCGGATGGGCGTTTCAGTCATTCGAAAGTGTAATTTTTACACCAAATTGTTTCTTATGAAATATATATGCAAATATAGTCCAAAAGCTAAAGAACGCTCTGGTAAACAGATTTTCTAATTTTATCCATATTGAATTAAATTTGAATACAACTTCCAACCACCGTATTTCTTTCTTCCAAAATGACTTTGATAAATGCAAAAAAGCAAAATCTATTATATCTTAGTAACTAACATTGGCTGGTACTCGCAAAACTCTAGAGCAATTTACTGACGAGCTGTTGGCAATCCGGTCTGTAGGTCTACATACAATCTTGACAGTCACCGTATATTACGGTGAACACAAATGAGAGATTAGAAGAATACCAAACCACTTTACAATGTGGCTACAGCCCTCGAGTAGTAGACTTTAGGACATAATGCAACTTGAAACTCTAAGCAGAGTCACTTCTCTCGCGTCACGAACTGAAAAACTCAGTGCTAATTCAATATTAAATCGGTCCAAAACATCGCGCCGTTTTCAAATTTAACCATGAAAACATGTGGAATAGAAATAGGCAAAAACATTATTAGACTCAGCTTCTCTTTCTCAGCAGTCGTGTACCTGAGCTAGTTGCCTTTATGGACGCTAAATTAATCGCCGAACTTTCGAATCTATATTCTTTTATCATGTTCACTTTTCGGAATTCTTCAAAATTCTCATCTTGGACTTTTGAAAGTGTTTCAGCAATAGCCGGACAGGGGAAAAATGCAACGCAACGCGCTTTTTGGCATCTGTAGCTGGCTATTTAGTAATTCTCAATGATTCTTTCAAAAGGCATCAGATTTGCAAAGCCGTGCCTTGAAGGCTCCAAGCACCAAAAAATCTTTGGAATCCAAAACCTTCGGAAGTCAATCATGATTCAAAATTGAGTTCACAAAGCAAGTGAGTATTTACTGCTTCGAAATATCAATCTTAGAGATCTTCGAGTGCTGTCTCGAGCGCGTGCGAAAACAAGGATAATAATGATTGTCCCCAAAAATTTCACGAATCGAAAGAAAATAAAAACCTGTAAAAAGAGGAGACAGAACTGTAGTGAATGATACCCGAATTGCTACTAGGTGAAATTCTGTCAGGTTTGTATTCTTAAAATATGGATTGCGGTAACATCAGAAAAATTATTATTTTGAGAAGCCACCTGTAGAAGCCAAAAAAGCATGTATTGTACTTGTTCCTGTACTTGTACCTATCAGTAAACTTCCAGAAGTATGACATGAAAAACTTGAGAAATTTGAAATTGGACATGGTAAGAATCGATCGTTCAAGTTCGGCTAGTTCAGTAGTCACAAGAACGACTAGTTCAGAAACGCGGCAGCTGAAAAGAGGAAAAAACCTGACAAGGGAGGTGTCAGAAGTAGCGACCTTTTGACATGGGATGGGTACTATCTAAAACAACTTATACTGATTCCAAAACAACCCTCTTTAGCTGCAGAAGGACTCTGGATAGGGAGTTATGGGCATCTTGTTCACCAAATTTCACATTGTTTAGAATACTAATGGTCATGGCATATGCTTCTTCAGACACTACAGAATCACACTGAGATAGGAGTAGATTAATTAAGCATTAATAAACGGTTTCATCTTGTTTAAGCCCAAAAACCGAGGACTTCGGTAGTTTTGGCTATTCTTAGTTCTTAGTGTAGTAAATTTCCCTCAAACTAAATTCAATGACTTTCGATCCAGATTCGTTCTGCAGCTAAAAAGGCTGTTTTGGAATCAGCATTTTGAGCTGCTTCAGATGAAATCAATCTCATATCAAAAGGCCACTGCGACTTCTGACACTTTCCTTGTGAGTCGAATGTTCTTTGAACGTCTGCCTAATTATTCCAGTTGTTTTTATGGTAGACTCGCAACGGTGCAAACTTTCGGACCGACACAAATGAACACCTACATCGGACTAGATCTTCGAAACCTTGATTCTTGACTTTCATTTGTCACTTGCTTATTCAAGCAATAACTTTCATGCAAAATCAGCGTTCGTTTCGTTCACAGATTCAAAAATCACTTTTCTTTTTTAACGACGCAACACAATAGAAGCATCGCATTGAACACAACTACCTTTGGAAATTGCAGGCCTCCCACGTGGTTCGCTTTATACTTTATGATTCGTGTGAAGCCACAATCTCTTCTGCTCTCTGTTTCGCACTTCGCTTACCAGCGGGAATATGTGTGGCATCATTTGCTGTCCTTCAGGTAACTTTGTAAGATTATTAGCTAAAGAAAATGAGTTAAGCTCATCATCCATCCTATGCAATTTGAACAGCCAAAAATGAAATAGGATGCGGTAGACAAAAATGTGGCAGGCGCTTTGGCTGGTCCAAGTCGAAAAAGGAGATTTTTATCACTTTTAGTATCTGCTTCGAGCACGTTATTAGTCTGGAATTCTGTCCAATTACGTATTTTACTACAACCTATTTGCGAAAAATCATTTCATGTAGAACAACTTTTGAATAGAAAATCCGCGCTCTTTGAACTTGAACAAATTTAGAGTTTCCAGTTGAAAACGGTAGAAGCATGCAAATGCATGGATAACCTGATCCGATTACTAGTGCTCAAAAATCAGTATTTTAGCTCGGTATGATATTAGAACGTGCTATCGCTTTATGGAGAAGGCAACACTACGAAACCTCAGGTGCAATGTTAGGATATGTGATAGCTGGATGTTGCGTAAGTCTTTTATGTGTAATGCACCTTGCGGAAATGACATAATTAGGGACGCATGCATTAACATCCCCGTCGAGGAGGGGATCTCAAGGCCCATACGCACGTATGTACATCTCTTCTGGGGAGGAAGGGATCTAAGAGGGTATGCGTCATATCTCGCTACTCTACGTATCTTTCTTCTTACTTCTCTATATGGCTTATGAAGATTTCCATACCCTTATACCCGCGCTAATGGATGCCAGGTTACCTTCATACAAGATTGGTTTTCTGCCAATTTGTGTGATCCCTAGGGATCCCACTTCTCATTTTCAAAGTGAGTTATCTTTCTAAGATGTCAATGAAAATGCTGCAAAATTATACTGAGGATATACTACGGCACTGCTAAACATGTCTTAAGTAGAAACAAGTAAAAAGTCAGCATATCGAAATCTCCGATGAACACTGCTCGCAAGCTAGAGACTAGCAAAACTTCACAATTTTCAGATTTCATTTCCTGTCAAAAACATGCTTAGCAGCCGTAGTATATCCTCAGTACAATTTTGTAGCATTTTCATTGACTTCTCAGGAAGATAAATCACTTTGAAAATGAGAGGAGATCCCCTGAAAATGACTGGTTAAAGCATGTTGAAATTTAACAGATTCAAATCAAATCAATAAATCAATAGAACGGCCCAGCAAATCGCTGCAATGAGTAGCGCTAAACTACCTCCGGGATCGAAAACATATGTGTGCAAAGTTCCAGCCTAATTGGTTCATTGGCTAGCGTTTCTATAACGAACGAACAACCAAACGAACAACCATACAAAGTTTGAGTTTTATATATATATAGATTGTGGGAAAATGCACGAAAAGAGACTAAACTGCAAATTTGGTAGAGAATGAAGGCGAAGCATGAGAATGATTGTAGGTTAATTCCTTTAATGAAACGCTTTGTTAAATTTAGAATCAAGTAAATTGTCCACGAAATTGCTTTCAAGTTACCGCGTGGTTTTGAGGTAGAGCTGCGGGATATCTCGCGTCATGAAAACTCAGGTTTATGGATTAAGCCAAATTATCACCACTCTGGATCTTTGTTCAAGAAAATATATGTGTTGTTCGCGCCCGCCATTATTTTCTCCAAACTTAATTCGAACGGAACATTAATCATGGTGTAAACTTCAACAAGCTAAGAAAATGCATTGAATCTACTATGTGTCTGTAGAACTGCCGATTTCCAGATTTTCACCGGAGCTGTAATGGCCACTTGGTCGATGTTGCAAATGGATCTTAATACAGAAGTTGTTTACTGTTCAACTAGCACTACTGCCACTGCAGATAGGTTGAGAACCCGAACATTCACTCAATGTGTCATAAATGTTTTTGCGTTACTCTGTGCTGGACTTATATATTATTACAATGCAGCAGCTATCAAACGGTGACTTACCAGAGGGCTTTTTTTCAGAATTTTTAATAGATGAATGTAACAGGAGATATTTTGATCTACATTCGTCGTATCAACTGCAAGAAAATGTTGACGTCATTAATGTGTTTATACCGCTATCAATGTTCCAAGCTATCTTCCATCTGTTTTTTTCTATCAGTGCGGTCGTTCTTTTGACTTTTCGAGCTAGTAATCCAACGACGACATACCGAACGATCATGGCATCATTCTATGTGAGATTTATCATCAAACACTTCGTTTTGCAGTATTTGTGATTCAGATCATACCGTACTACACACTGGCTTCACCAGCATTACTGCTATTGTTGCTGAGGTCGTCATCGCAAAAACGAACTGCAAAGATAGCCGCGTTACCAAAGATTGCTAACGAGCAAACTTACTTTGATGCATATGCTAAAATGTGGGCAGTCACACTACCCAGTAAAAATTGATGCAGAGTTTTTTTTTTGAAGTAATTAAAATATAAATTGATTTTTGAGGTGATGCATCGTTTACGATATATTTGTTAAATAAATAAATAAATAAATAAATCTTGAGTGTTACATAGCGTTTCACATTTCGAGAAGCGGTGATTCGCTCTTGCGGGTAGAAGCAAAGAATATATCCAAAATTTTACCTCACTAGGGAAAGCATTTCATTCGATGGCTTTTTCCAATAAAATGTGTGTCAGTCAAGAGGTGCTTGAATGCTGATAACAAGATGACCCTTCATATATGCTAAATGGTTTAGTAAGCAAAGTTAGGGGCACTGCTCTGCTTTTAGATTGCTTAATAAAGCTATGACGTAAATGTGCAGCAAATGCGAGATTGCTCTAAAATTACTTCCCTAAATTTCAAATTGTGATTACGAATGAAAATAATTAGGTGGGAGGTTGGGGTTCTAACAGCAACCAATCAAACTCAATATTATACGAACTCGAAGATGGCCTGTAACTTACGAGCAGCGAAGTGAACCGTTTAGCAAATCTGGAAAGCAGGTCCGAAATCATGTTGGCGATTATGTTGTGCATTTTGTTGACAAAGCCCACCCTAAGTCAAGTGACTTCCGCTGTCGGAAATCATTTGGTCGCAAGCGGGCTATAGACCAATTGCTTCGCTTCTGTAAAAATTTTCCTCAAAGGTAGAATTAACCTCCAATTAACATGTTTCAAACCGCGGAAATCGCGATCGACCGAAATCGCGCGCGGCGAAAAATAGTGTGTTCTTAGCCGTTAGCCGACAAAAGGACATTATTTCGTAGACTGTGGGCTACATCTGTGGTCAGCATGCCAGTTAAGCTCCGTACCCAAGGTTCTGACTGTATTCGAAGTGTTTTAGTTTCGTCGCTGATAAGGGACTTCTATGCTTTCTTGAAAAATATGAACAAGAACTTAATTTTCAATAGTACGCAAGAGTATCTATGCTGTACACGGTACACATCATCATTGAAACTACGTTTTTTCTTTGAAATCGAAGAAAAGAAATGTTGCCACGTCGCACGCGTCGTTCGCATTGCTGCACTTCGTTGCAACTGATGTTCGATTTGTCCTCATATCTCCCAAACAAATATCGATAACACAGCTCTACAGAGTCATTAAAAAAGTAGGAGCTTAAGCCTTTGACGTGATAATCTTGGACTATAAACGTGCAGCACCGGTACTAAACGTTTTAAAGAAACTTCTGTCATGAATCGCGCTTTCCACACTCCGCCCATCCAAAGCTCGTGTTCCGACGTGGTAAGCACACTCTCCTGTGTCGCGAATGAAATGTTGTTTATGACGCTGGAAGGTGTAGGGATTCAATGTGTTCATGTGCAGTGAACACGTGGAATCCCGCATCTTTTCCCGTGACATGTAGCTGCAGCTTGTCTATGCATGCAAAGGGTATAACCTATCAATGATATATTGCCTTCTGAATAGGCGCCGAAAGCTATTGCATATTCTTGAAAGGGAGAGAAAAACGAGAAAGAGTTATAAATGAGTAGCTCAAACAGGAAATTAACTCTCAGGTTAAGTCTGTTATAGAACAGGTTCCCAGCTTTGAGTTCTGTAAAAAGGAAAAAAGCGTAGATCTGTTTTTGGTTGAAAAGCAAAGGAGACGTTGAAAATTTACAGGGTGTCCCAAAAAGATGTACACACTGTTTGATCGTTAATGACTCTCCTGCTTTCATGTCCTGTGCCGAGCCTGAGGTGCCCTTCTGTAGACCGTGGTTCAACTTATGTTAGATTTGCAGTGTGGAGGGAATCGAATGCTCTTCATTACTGTAAGATTGCGATAGAAACTTCGAGGAGAATTTTGAGAAATTGAAAGCGGTTTTTTGCCGGTTTTTGCCTCAGAGAGAAAGTTAAAGAAGACAGAAACTCTCAAAGTGGGCTAAACGAGGTCGCTGACTCTAAATATGAAATTTGCATTTCAGTATAGGGCTTCTTCCATAAGATTTCAGATTTAAGAAGCAACTGCTTTTCCAATGTTCGTCAGAAATGTGAATACGCCATCAAGAAAGCTCGAAAAACTCATGAAAAGTCATGTAGTGAAACCAGCACGCCTAAAACTTGCCACACAAATTTTCAGATTTTTTTTGAAATTATTTCATTAAAAGGCCCGTTCCACAGTGACGCTATATGCTGAAAGTTCATACCGTGATTCTACAGTAATAAAGAGTGATTGGTAATTTGCTCCATACTGCAAACTAAGTTGAACCTCGCTCTACAGAATGATATCTCAAGCTCTGTAAAAGACATGAAAGAAAGAGAGTTATCGACGATCAAACAGGGTGCACATCTTCTTGGGACACTCTGTATTCCTACGCTCAACCTCAGACAAGCGCACTTGCTTTGGAAACAATTTACATAATTATATGTTCCAACGTGCTATTTTTTTGTTTTGTTGCGTAGCCTTTCGAGTCATCGACGATTGTTCATCCACTTGGAAGCATCATAGCCAAATTGCGATTACCATATTATACTACCAGTGCGTCACCTCCGCTTCGCGGAGGTTCGCACTGGCTCTCCTATCCGTTTGCCTTTCTCATGTTCGCATAATGATGACTTTGAAACTCACCATGCGATGCTGAACATCACAAATGAATAGTAAATAACTGTTCATTCTTGAAGTATCTCCACGTAAGATCGGTAATTTTGAGAGAAAAAAACTTGTCGCAAAGGAACACTTGCGAATTTGATTAGATTACTGAAATTGTTTTGGCTTGATAGTCGTCATAAGGATAATAGTCACTTTGAGCTAAAATTCCGTGCAAAAATCTTTCCAAGTCTGAAGGTAAAACCTTGCCAAATCGACTGTCTAAGCGATCTCCACTTCTTGGCGCTGTTGTTGCAGAAAAGCAATCTTTTAGAGCACTTTTTGGGCTAGAATTCATGAAGCGCAAATGTACTTGTCAGGCAAATCATGGCTTCGCAAAAAGTCGAATTAATGACTTAGTTTTGCGTGCCAAAAGCCGCGTGGGCCCGTTTGACGCGCAGTTTTGAAGGTCCCAAACATCGGATCAGATTGTGCTTTTGCACTTTTTACCTACATGTTGGTAGGGTGCTATGACCAAAATTCCAGCTCAAGACCTTGCCTACAAAACGCTCTATGAATTTCGTGACAGACAGACATAAACACACACACAGACAGACAGACACGCGCTTAATTATAAGTCATGATTGTGGGATCTCAATCATGTCAATTTTCACGTCGAGAGGTCGCAACCTGGGATCGGAAGAGCTGGCGCAGGGTCAAGCTGGATATCATTTTTGGGACCAAAGCAAAGAGAATATTGTTTTAGTGGTCGAAATGCGGTTTTTAGTCGACGTTTCGTTTTCTCGAGGGATTTTTTACGTTTAGGGTTAATGGTCGTAACACCGTTCGCGTTTCCAGACCTCCGGAAAGGGGCTTTTGGAAGTTTCGTGTGCTATCTATAATATCCAAAATCAGAGCCAAGGAAGGGGCGGGAATGACAAAATATGGAAGTTCAAGGTCTGTAGGAATAGTGCTTCGAAGCTTTTTTTAATAATCTTTCAAAAATCTCTTAGGTCGTCAGTATTTATTGCTTAGAACTATTGGTTGCTTAAGGCCTTTTAATTACTACTTCTCTGGCTATTTTCCCAGTCAAGCAAAAATATCGTAATTAAAGGACGAAACTGGGAGCGAGCACCAAGTGACTCCGTAATATATTTACAGGTCAAATGGAACTTGAGTTCCCTTTTAAATATTGTCTTATATATTCAGAAGAGAATCCAATATAATATATAGAATAGACAAATCGTGCTTGCCCTGCGCGGGAATCAAAAATGGCTGCACACAAATAGATGGGTATTAACAGCCTATGCTATGACATTAAGCTATATGCACACTAGGGAGTAGGAGAGATTAAACTATTATTACATTTCTATGCACACAGCAGGTCAATAGCATCTACATATCTCATTCTCACAGTAGCAACACAAACTAAACATATTGTCTACCACTTCTGTGTTTTATTGTTACACACTCCCCGTTAGGGCTCGGCACGAAGCGGTTTTGGCAACTTTTTGCTAATAAAGTCCCCGTTAATTTCGCAACAAGAATTCGACATCCCTTACGACATGCTCACAATTGAATCAAACAAAAATAACAAAAAATAGAACAAAATCAAAAACATTATTAGAAAAAAACTAATAACGCATATAAACTACGAGCTGGCGACGTGCTGAGTTCAACACACGCATCATCGCGCGCTTGGAGCAAGCTTGCCTCAGCCATTCATTTGAGGGGTTGCTCAGCTGGCTCTCCAGATGGTTCACAACCCAAACATGGAAATTTGCCACGCTTCCATTTCACATATCTTTTCATAATTTTTTCATACATAATTCCAACTCCCTATATCTTTTCCTCTTCGCAGTCAACGAGCCTTTGGTGGTGGGGGGGGGGGGAATCAAAGTTGGGAAAATGTATGCGGATGTCTCATGTGACAATAGCAAAAGATATAGTTTTGTTTTTGAGAGAGAGGGCTGCAAAAATGTATCCAGTTGTGGTTGTGAAGTTGTTTCCGTTGAAGGTTTTGGTCTCGACCCTGTCCCCAAATGCTATGCGCTCTGAGGGTAAATTTCTTTAAATGGGTTTTCCGTCATGACACAATCCATTCTTCAACTTAACGGCGGGGCAAAAATTGGCTGGAACTCTTGGAGGTTACACAACTTACCACTGCGGTATTTTGTTCGTGGCAATATGACATAGTTCGGACTATCACCCACGAATCGACTACGTTGACTTTCTTGATTTTTCTGAACAAAGCAATTGGATAACTCAATCATCAACAGATTTGGATAAAATCTTCTTTTTCTGGTTACCTACGAAAAAAATGATGAACATCATCATAGCCTCCTTCCTTTTACGGAACTTTTTCCATTCTCAGCTACCAGAGCTGTTGTTGTAGTAAGAGGTGTTGTTCTTTTCTAGAAAATAGTACCCCGTTGTGCGA